TTGTTTCATGTTTAAACATAACAAAGTCGTTGTCTATACGAGTTTGATAGTTTACATTTCCAGTAGGACCATTTATTGTCCAACCTAGTTTCGACTTCAAAGCAATCGGTGCATTTGTAGGTCCAATGATTACTTTCAGAGGCACTGTCAAATGTACATGTTCATGTCCAATCAGTAGTCGTGGACGACCACGCTGAAACACTTCTTCAGGGATTTCCTGTAAATAAGACCATTTATTTTTCATTTGTTCTGAATTCATGGACTGTATTGGTAACTGCAAGGCTGTCAAAGTCTTCACGTTGTTTAGAGTCAAGTGTTCGCCTGTATCTCCTATAACTGTCAGTGTTACAGCCTGAGATTCTTTTTCTGTATAAACAGATCCATCTGTCCAGGAGAAAGATACAGGTTTAGTAGGTCCATCAATTTCGAGTTCTTCAACCAATCCCTTTTCGATGACAGAAATAGTTGAACCGTCATCAATTAAAGCAAATGTTTCAATTTGCTTGCCATTTTTTCCTACCAATGTTACTGAGAGAACCCTCAACAACACTCTTGCAACAGGTTCTTCTTGAAACCCCATATGTTCACTGTGAATTTCCAATTTAGGTGTCTCTTTATTAGCACCTTCTTCTTTTGAGGTCACGTGTAACAGTTTATTATGGAAATAGGTGCAGCCATTAACTCCACAAGCAAGTTTGTTACGACAAGTCATCGCTCGGTGTTTAGTCTTCAAGCAATTGAAACACAGACTGTTACTCTTGACTGTCTCCCATCTTTTATTTACATCATACTTTAGGAATTGCTTGCATTCTGTCAATGTATGGTCTTGTTTTTTGCAGCAAACACATATACGTTTTTTAAACTTCTTGTCACCTTCATGTTGTACTAATACAAAGTTCTTGGAGTTTGATTCATTTCTTGATGACATGTTTTTAAAGTTTCCACTAGTAGATGTACTGGGAGCACATATAATTGCTGCATCCGCCACAGAAGAGAGCCACGTCGAAAAGCTGTCGAGGCCAATTGGTTGTTTCAATTGAGACTGTGGTGAAGTGACAAACATTCCCCAGTTGAGCTTCATGTTGGTGGACAGTTTTTCTGTGAGCTCTTCCATAAGTTGTGGGTTAAACAAGTAGTGGTCCTGCTTCAAGGATTTTACCGTAACTACTAAGTTCCTTACCATGTCACTAAAAGCAACCAAAGTGTCAGGCTTGTAGTCCTTAGTTGGTGGTCGACCTTTCACGCTTGCTATGAGATTTTTAATAATTATATCTGGTCTTCCAAAACGCCGTTCCAACAAATTAACAATTTCTGGTACGTTCTCAGGATATATCAACAGTGCTGATATCATTTCTTTAGCTTTTCCAGTAATACACTTCTGAAGTCTTTGAAGATTCTCCAAATCAGTGTAGTCATTAAATTCAGTAGATCGCCTGTATTCAGCTATCCAAGCGGGCCATTGGTCTAGATCTCCGCTGAAATTAGGTAGAGCTGACAATATTCTCGCCGGCATCTTCTCTCTAAATATCATTTTATCAGGTTGACAATCTCGAGGGAAACACGAAACATCTCGAGGAATTCTCCTTCCTTCGCTGAAAGCTACAGTCCTTGCTTCTCGAGGATTTTCACAGTTTTCTTCTCGAGGCTGGAAACTAGACTGTACTTCGTGATGCGGCAAGGATACCTCCTGCTGTACACTCTTCATAACATTTACTGGAACATTAGTACAAAGCTTCAAAACGTTATTTTTATTAATGTCTTCAGCTTGATCCTTTGTCTGCATCCACTTTTCAACAGTTTCCTTTGTGGGCAATGGTCGTGGAAGAGAAGAAATTGAAGTCCTAGATGATCTGCTACTGACTCTTGACGATCCCCTGCTAAGCGATGACAGTCTGTCTTCAAGTAGCTTCTTCTTCATTTCTATTTACACACCTAAAAATCCTGAGATGGCTCCTCTTCCGGCAAACAGATTAGAACCATATGGACGTCCATTCACCTGTGTGGCTGTGGATTATTTTGGGCCTCTGGAAGTCACTATAGGTCGCAGAAGAGAAAAGCGATATGGAGTGTTGTTCACATGTCTGTCAGTGCGAGCGGTACACTTGGAGATTGCAGCTTCTCTCAATACGGACTCGGCAATTCTTGCGATCAGGAGATTTGCAGCAAGACGGGGTTGTCCTTCGGAATTGATATCAGACAATGGTACCAACTTTAAGGGCGCAGAGAACGAATTAAGAAAAGGACTTGAGTCGTTTGATAACGAACAAATTAAAACGTTCTGCGTGGGGAAGATGATGAAGTGGACTTTTCTACCACCGGCGAGCCCTCACATGGGTGGTGCGCATGAACGTCTTATACAATCGGTGAAGAAATGTTTAAGAGTGATTTTAAACACCCAAGCTCCTAAAGAAGAAACGTTGACTACTCTATTATGTGAAGTAGAATACATAATCAACAACAGACCCTTATTTCCTGTATCAGACGACCCTAATGATGAGCTCCCTTTGACACCAAACCACTTTCTCCAGGGAGGAGCAGATAGAGTCACACCAGCTGTCATTATAACGGAGAAGCACCTGCATAGACAATGGAAGATCGCACAGGACATGGCAGACAAATTCTGGAAACGTTGGCTGAAAGAATATGTGCCTTTACTAAACAAACGCTCCAAGTGGCACACAAAACAAGTAAATCTGCAAGTCGGTAACTTGGTCTTAATAACTGATGAAAACCAAGCCAGTGGAAGGTGGACAAAGGGTGTAGTCGAAGCTGTTTACCCTGGACGAGATGGCCAAGTGAGGGTGGCAGACATCAAAACGTCCACCGGCACCTGGAGAAGACCGACTGCTAAACTAGCCAAGCTGATGACTTAAACTCGCCCCGGAGAAAATGTTATGTTAGTTAAAGGTTTAATTATATTGAACTTTGTCTTTCTTTAAACAGATGATTACAAAAAATATGCTTCTATTCCAATTTGTAAATAAATAAAGATTTTTAGTGTTGCTTAAATGTTCACCAAGGAACATCAGTTTTTCATTTACAGATATAATAAATAATTTAAACTATTCATTTTGAACACTCTGTTTATTTCTTGTGCTGAATAATATTTATGGTTATACCGTCGCAGGCAAAGCCGCGGGTACAAGCTAGTAATCACAATATTTATACTAGGCAATAAATCCCAGGTTCTCTGCTGAACTGTACCCATTAATGTAGCCTACACTTCAATATACTAAAACTCTACATAAGTTAGTGATCTTCTTATATATAAATAAAATTAGAGTTTTGTCTGTACATTGCTCAGAATTATATATTTTTAGGTTATTTTTACGTTTTATACATTAAAGAAGCAGAAAAAAGTCTTATCTCTATTTCTGTCTGTCTGTCTGTCTGTCTGTCTCTCTATCTGTCTTTCTGTCTGTCTGTAACACTCAAGATGGCATTTTACGCAATCTTCTCCGTGAAAACGAGAGTACCTATCAAGATCCAAGTCATTTTAATCTTTTCACTGGATTGGCGAGAGTGTCTTTAGCGATTAAAATATGGCCTCACTACTTTGTAAATAAAATTACGGACGTTCAAAAATGCAGTTTTGTGCGATTTTTGTCAAATTTTTGTTTAATTTTTATCACATAATCGTCTATGAAAAAACGAACAGCTGTTCAAATCAAGATTATTTTTTCTAGCTGTCACTGATATGTTTACAAATGTTGTTTACAAATACCGCAACCATTTCAAATCACGTTTTGAAAGCAAATCCCAACCAAGTAGGATCAAAAACGTTTTTCTTACATAACGGATTTAATAGGCCTAAAAAGTTGCAAGTGCAATATCATAGTGTAACCCGTAAATGAAATTAAATACCTAGGCATCATCCAGGTCAGGAACCAGAAATTCTTTGTGTATAAAATTGTTCTTGAGTTTTTATAACCAAACAAAAGACCTTGAATCAGTGTTGTGGCTGGGACACTTAATGATCGTCGCCAATAGCTTACAAACAAGGTTTCCACTCATTGACAGCGCTTAAATGGCGATTGTGTAAAGTGTAAAGTAAAAAAATCACAACTGCAGTGGGTGATTGTAACAGAGGTTTACGGATGATGCTAAACTCGTTTTCTAATGTGTCACTTTCTGTTTCTACTCACCGTGTAAGTTAATGCAATCGCTGGACCATACTGCCAATAGGCCCATAGCCCATCTCTTGAGTACGTACGCCTACTTATTTATACATCTAAAAACCTTTTCGACGACGATCCTTGGTAGGTACCAGTACTTTTCCATAGAATACATGGCCTACCTACTTAAGAAATAAAATTACAAATGTCCAAAAACCCAACATTGTGTGATTTTTGTCACATTCAACTGACTACTATTAGATCCCCGTACGTAGAACGGGCACACAGCTAGTTTAGAAATAAGACGATTCAAACATCTCAATAGAAATGTTTTGTTGAATCTTTGTGAAATTACTCAGCCATTGGAATGAACAAACTTCAAACAAATCTCATGAATCCTGAATGTGTGCAACGTAACACACCAAAATATAAGTTGATCTAAATGCGGGTAATGTAATGTATGGAAAGATTAGCCTGCAGAAGATTAATAACGGCTTTTTAATTTTAGGCGGGTACAGTTTCTTAACTGGGCTACGCTAATATTGATTGAAACTATCGATTCGATTAGTAAACCTTCATGCGATTTTTTTACCATCAGCAAGTTTGGTTGGTTAGGTTAGGTTATGATAATTAGATTAATTTTATAATAGGCTAGATATATTTTTAAATATCGATTATTAATCAATATTTTCAATTCGATAGTTTCAATCAATATTAGCGTAGCCCAGTTAAGAAACTGTACCCTTATAGGCTATCTAAAACGAATGCCAATATTAATTGTTGGGCCTAGGCCTAGTTAAGATAAAGCTTTTTGAATTTCAACCCTCGGGCGTTTCTATAATTTAATTAACAACTAAGGGAGTTTTGTTAATATAAATAACCTACCTTTTACACAAAGAACGAAAAACTAGATATTTAATTCAGGAAATAGACCTTTCACTAACTTAACCTATTGCAAGTGACAAACAGAACAGAACTAGAATTTGGAACTGGAAGAACTACGAAATAACTAGGAAATTGACACATGCAGCAGACGATGAGACTGGTAAAAAAACATAGTCAGTGAACAGAATTCGGAATTCGGAAACACAACACGGGAGAGGCTTGAGGGAGAAAATAGGACGTGTTGTGACGTTCAAGAATTGATCATAGACTTTCATTTTCATTTATTTTACGGACACTCCATTTTACAAAGAAATACAAATCCACTGGTGTGTGGTGTGCTCAATTTACTTTGATCCATGATATTCTCCAACCGGCGGATATCTATTACTATTGTACCAACTACAGACCTACAAGGGCAAATGCATGCATAGACTATATTGACTAATATTAAACCTTTAAACTACTCGGTTGAAGTGCATGACTGGGCAATATCCGATCATTGTTTCTTTAATGCAAACATTAATAGGTCTAACCTAAACGCAACTCTGTGCGAAAATGAGGAGCCTCCCTCGAACGCCATTCTTACCTAGAGGCCTAGAGGCCATGCTGTTGATTACCTGAAGCTTTATAATCTCAAGCAATGCCTCAAGAAAATTGATTTGTGTGCTGAACTCCACGGTCTGAACGCAGAGGACAGGTATAACAAATTTCACAATATATTCATGTACTGGTTAAACCTATTTTTACTTTTGAAGACTAGACCTTCGCTCAAGACTCAACAGGAGATCGAAGCAAAAGAAGTGGTTTACTCCACAACTTGCACGTATGAGGAACTACCTTTTGCTCTTGCTCGACTGCGCCCGTTCTACTGGCAAGGAAGTTAAAAACAAATACAAAACGGTAAACAAGGAATACAAGTCCATGTTACTTAAAGCTAAGAAGGATCACAACACCAACTTCATTAATGCTGCAAAAATAAGTGTCAAGCAGCCTGGCAAGTAGTCAAGGAAGAAAGTGGGACCTACTCCGCTTGTGTTCATTCCCAACCATCTGTAGAGACTTTCAGTGATTTTTTCCAGAGGGTTGTGGCGGAGCATCGACACCACAGACGTAACCGATGGTGAACTGCTAACTGAGCATCTGAAGAATCCTCATGTCAAACCTACAGTGGACTCTATAGTATGTGGCTCCAGAGTGTTCTAAAGATGATCAAAGATATGAAGTAATCTAGAAACTGTGGTGTACATAGGCTATAATCAGTCATTTTAAAGGCCTTAATGGAATCAGTAGCCGAACCTTTCACTTTGTGTACTAATGCCAGTTTAAATGAGGAGATTTTCTCATCCAAACTCAAAATATCTAAAGTTGTGTATGTGTACAAAAAAAAGGTAGCAGGAGTGATCCAGGAGGGTACCGGCCGATTTCTCTGGTCCCTGTTATTTCAAAAGTCTTTGAAACTGTAGTAAAAAAATCAGATACTGTAAGTAATTTTTAACAGCATAACCTTTTTATTGACCGTCAGTATGGTTTCAGGCCTGGTAGATCTACGATCGATGCAATCAAACTGTTCATAAGTAATCATGTGCTTGCTGGCTTTGAAAGCGGAAATCCTACAGGAGCAGTCCTCTATGATTTGTCAAAAGCATTTGACTGTGTCGATCATAATATTCTTTTGTACAAATCAGATTTTTATGGAATCATTGGCAATAAAAATTCTTTGTTAAAATCATAACTCAACGGTCGGCTCCAAAAAGTGTCTTCAAATAACTCATTTTCTAACGTAACTGAGGTTAAGTACGGGGTACCACAGGGATTGGTTCTGAAACTGAATATGTACTGGGATTGGTACCGTTCCTAATAGCCATAAACGACCTGTCCTCAAATTTTGAATGTAAATCCAACCTATTTGCTGGTGACGTAACCTTTCTCACTATAAATGTAGTACTTACTGAAATCCCAGTGGCTACTAATAATATTCATGATCAGGCAAATGAGTGTTAGCCTACAAAGCCAATTAATATGTTACTAATGAATAGAGAAAAAACTCAAACTGCTGTATTTACTTTGACAAAATACTGGTAATTTAGAAAATGAATTCTCTCAGTGTGTTAAGCTCCTATGTACATAACTTAGATTCCAAACTAACATGGCATGAGCATGTTAAACACCTATGTAAATCGTTACACCGAATAATATGTTTAGTAAGAAAATCAAAAGCCTGTATATCCCCTGATTGCTTAAAAATGGTTTATTTCTCACTTTTCATAGTAGAATTGCCTATGGGTTGCTGTTTTTGGGGAGTTCTAGCTCCATAAGTAGTGTAGTGTAAGTAGTGTAGTGTAGCAAAGAAGAAGATGTTGAGAATCATCCCAAACTATGACACTAATACACACTGCAAACCTTTTTTTTTTCAAGGGAAAAAATCAAACTGTAATCAACCTGTACGTTTTTGCATGTCTCTTACATACAAAAATGCATCTTCACAGGCACGTACAGAATCATGGGACACGAGGTCAAAACAAAATCTGTAGACCCTACACAAGACTGACCATGGTTCTCACATTCTTTGAAGCTACAGGTACAGGTTGACCTTTTCAATTGCTTGCCTTTTTCAGCTCTGCATGTTACCCTAGGTAGTTTTAAGAATGTGGAGTATGCATGGTTGATAGTAAGGCCCTTCTACAGCCTTAAAGCATTTTTTGAAGCAGACTTTAGCTCTATTAATTTTGCTTGATGTTTTTTTTTTCAAAAATAACTACTATTATTTAGTTTTGTAGAATGAACACTTATTTTGCTTTAGTTTAGCATATTTTACTGTTGAACTTATGACTGACTTGTGCATTTCAAGCTTCCATGACAAGATCGATTGCATGTACAAAGATCAATCATCACCATCGTCGTCACGTACAATAGCAACAAAGTAGGGACTATCGTCCATGATCGTGGATTACAACTATGTTGATCCAACTCGTGATCACTGTGAAATCGTGGATTAAATGTTCGATCGCAAAGTCTTTGCAGACGCTTCCTACGATCTTGATGATATCTCTCGCACAGTCACAGTCTCACGCCTTTGATTTGCCGCAATTTAACAGTTTTCACCGCCCCTAAAAAATACCGCAATGAACCCTGAGAAGGGAAGGAAACAGGTCCATGACGTAGGAAATGGTGAAGGAAGTAACAGTGCAGAGTGTGGGAACTGTATGTGGCAATTACATTAATGTATCTGCAATTCTAAAATGCTATGGGAAGGAAGGGAAACAGGTCCACGACGTAGGGAGTGGTGGAGGAAGTAGTAAAGGCGAGCAGTGTTGAGTGTGGGAATGGATTAATGTCTGCAATACTATAAAGACTGCTTTAAGAGTAAAATAATGATTTTCCCCAAGCAAAGCTTGGTCCCCAGGTACTTAATAAATAGTTAAATTATTAATGACTTGAATAAAAATGTTTAGTCATTGAGGAAAATTAACAACTATAAACAATATAAATATACCCCCGCCGCAGCAAACCTGCAGACTAAGCGAACTTACATTTGCCTGATTGGATTTACACTAAAATGTCTACCTGCTTTAAAACATAACATTTATTTCCTATTTAAATAGAATTAGTTTAACAAGTACTTAGGTTTGCTGCATCAGGGAGGGTAAAACTGTGTTTTTGTCAAATGTTAATGGTTAGTAAGAAATAAAAACATTTTCCAATTCGATCAAAATTTTTTCATAAACAAGCAAACTACGACAGTTTACTTGTTCTCCATAAGAATAATATGGGAATTTTAAATTTAGCCTACATTTTTTTGGAATTTTCACCGTAGCCATTAGGCGCATAATAACGCTTCAATATACTAAATTATATTTTTTTAGGCTCTACAAAATGGTTTAGAAAGAAATTGCAAAATTTTATGTTTTTTTGGGTAAAAAATTGGGAAAACCTTTTTTTACCCCGTAAAACCCCCCGTAAACCCCCGTTCCCATAGTCCGATCATGCTGGCTCGCGAACTCGCGAATAAATGTAGGTTTACACGTTTATACCAAATTTCATCAAAATCGGATCATTTTTGCTCGAGTTATAGTGCTAACGGACATATATATATAAGTTATATTTATATGAATTTGAACGGATGGTGTTTTTGTCCTTTAGGGACCTCAAAACGAAAAAAATTGGTCCCGCATTAAGGTCTTACCATGACGGTAATAGCTTATTCCCTATATGGGAAATTCGCTAATAAATCACATAAGCAAACGGTTAGGGTTCACTTACACTACAAATCATAGACACTATGAGCCTCCAAATATGTAATTCTCTGTAACACATGGCTCACTTTATTTAATTATTCATATCAACGGATTCACCATTTACAAAATATATCTCTTACTCTACAGATCATAGTCTATACGAGCCTCGTAATTAATATTGAAGGTTCACTTTCTCTACAGATCATAGTGCCTATGAGCCTCGTGTCTTATATCATAGATTAAACATACTCCTTGAGGAGTATGTTTAATCTATGCTTATATTTAAAATACAGTAGGAAGGTTCACTTAATCTACAGATCATAGTACCTATGAGTCAAGCGTATGAATTATTTTTTAATTCAGGAATAAAGACGGCTCACTTACACTACAGTTCATTTAGCCACACGTCACGTGGTTTGCAGAACATCATATTGCAGGCGTTTATGGTAAACGAATACTGCCGTTCTGCTTTACTTCTGCCGTTTACTATTCGTGCAGCGTGAAAGATAGCTTATTATGTTAATGTATTGTTGAATTTTTATCAAGTGTACTCGTTGTGTACTCGGGCATAGCGCCAGCGCCTAGTGTTTCACGAACGCAAACCACGCAACGTGTAGCTAAATGAGCTGTAGTGTAAGTGAGCCATCTAATATTTTACCGCATGCTCATGGCTCATTTTCACTATGATCTGTAGAGTAAGTGAACCTTCCTACTATATTTTTAAATATAAGACACGAGGCTTATAGGCACTATGATCTGTAGAGTAAATGAACCCTCTTCATTTATTTTATATTTTTGATGTGGTGCAAATGAACGTTCTATTATATATACTATTTATAATAATATTTACAAAGCTCGTATGGACTATGATCTGTAGAGTAAGTGAGCTCCCCCAAGCAAACATGCAGACTATGCGAATACAAATATTAGGTGAAGTATAATCAAAGACATTCCTCTTTGCTGAGAGGCGCTAGCTGACAATGCCACAGAGCATGTCAACGCTTTCTTTTTCTGTCTTGCCCATGCGTGATTTGCGCGAAAGACTATGCTCCCAACGTCACGTCGCTCGTCGTCCTTCATCCACCACCATCACCTGAGCGTCAGCGTCAATTCAAGAATTCAAGCTTTGTTTAAATGTTGTCATGTTACTAGCACTGACTGTCCCTAAACAGTCCCTGTTGTTTTCTTTTGTGCAGTAGCAGTGTGGAGTAGTGAAAACTTACTATCGATAGTCACACTATCGATAGTTTTCGATAGTTTTTTAAAAACTATCGATACTATCGATAGTACTATCGATAGTCACTCAAATGGAATTTTAATGCATATAATATTGTATATATCCTGCCTGCATGAGTGTAAACAATGGTTTCTACCTAGTCGAAGATAAAGCTGTATCAGATTATTAATTTTAACAATTTATGAGTGACGCCCTGGAGCCCCCTTTATGTTTTTTTCCCAAAATATTACAACATTTGTATAAAATAACAATAAGTTTTTTTAAGGGTTACAACAATAAAAAAAGAAAAATTCTCTTACTATTTTCTTTTTATTATTCACTACAAAAATATTTTTTTACTCACATAGCATAAATAATATATATATATATATATAATAATTATGGTTGTGATTAGGGCTACTATTATATTAATAATTGGAAACATTATAACAACATTATATATATTTTTTTTTATATGACAATCTAAAACCATAGATCAAAGGAAAATACCGTATACCGGTGTCTACTATGTATGCTAAAACCCACGAGGCAAATGTACCCATAAGTCCGGTAGTGAATTAGCAAATTCCCCCGCTTTCAAATGTTTGAGAAGGTAGCCTACTTGTCTACCAAGCTTTTCTACAATGAATTAAAAAAAAATAGACTATAATATTAACTATAGGTATGCATTAACAGACAAACAATGAAATGTAAGAGTACCAGATAATGATTTCTTTACTTAATTTAACGTAAAAAAAACTATCGATAGTCTCATCGATAGTATAATACCATCGACCCACTATCGATATTTTCAAACTATCGATACTATCGATAGTACTATCGATAGTAAGTTTTCACTAGTGTGGAGCGAGGGTAGGGGCAAGGGAGAGTAGCAAGGAAGCCTAACGCTACGGTAACGTAACGTCATAGTCAGTGGTTAGTTGGTGAGTGTCATTTTGGTAAGTGATAATTTTACTTAATTTGTTGATGCTAGTTTTTGAGGTTCCATTAATATCCTAGTATTGTCGTAGTGCGAACATTATTCGTAAACCATCGCATAGTTTGTTTTATTTTAAGTAATTTTTACTGAAATATGTCACTGAGTTACTGACCGTTGTTAACGCACAGGTATACAGCTTATTTATTTATTTAGTAGCTTAGATAAGTTACTAATTAAAACCTTGTTTCTTACATTACCTCATCTGTCATGTGAATTGTTTTTGTTATCTGAGTAGGCCTAGCAGTTATTTCGATGATATAGTCACTAGATCTTGGCCTAGTTCATTTAATTCTTAGGCCTAGGCCTAACTTAGGTTCAAGTTATGTCTATACCAGCCAAGCCATCTTAGTCAAGATCATTATTTGGTTCCATGATCACATGAACATAATTGCTCTACTGTACAACCAGTGCTCGATTTGTAAAAAATGAGGTGCCAGAACTGTATAACTTAATGTAACATATTTAATGTGATTAGGCCTATGTTGGTGCCTAGCCCTATTTCTGCAAAAAAAAAATTCTTTCCGAAAGAGAGGGTAGCCCATAGGAACTCTCTTTCGTCGCGTTACCCCGCAAATTGAGCGCTGTATACAACAAACTTGATAGCCAAAAGTTCTAGAATTAGTAGGCCTATACAAGGCTGCTGTGAAAGCCTTGATGAAAGCCTTGTGAAGCCTTTTGGGTGCTGTTTGCTGCCTGTCTGCCATATTAATGTAGGGTAGAGTGGGGGAATTGGGACCCGGGGGTAATTGGGAGCTAAGTTATTTTTTTAAATTTTTAAATTTTGTATTATTTATTTTTTTAACAAAATTGTAAATACGTTAAAGTTTAGGCATTCTAAAGGGGTTTCATCAAAAATTATTGGATAATTGTAATCTTGTGTTTAATGTATAAAAAAAATAAAAAAATTAAGCCGTGTTTTTTCCCGAATGTTAAACATATGGCAAAACTTCAGCGTGGTAGTATTTCGAGCTATTTTTTATATATTATATGAATTAATAATCATACCAAAATGTATTTTTTGACACATTTAAGGTTTAAGCAATAGTTTGTTAGGGATTTAAAATTTTTAAAAAAATTATAAATTAATTTTATAAATTTTTTAAAAAATGGGTCCCAATTACCCCAGTGTGGGGAAATGGGACCCATATTTTTCTATCCCACATATAATTAATATTAATATTATAATTAATCCCACATATAATTAATCAATAATTAAATGTGGCTGCAGCGGTGATTATCATGTATTATGTGTAAAAACAGAATTTTGAAGTAGGTCCCAATTACCCCAGCATGGAGTAATAGGGAACCAGTCTCATCGCGTGGTTACATCGGTTTGGAATCACAGATGTACAGAAAGGTGAAAAATTTATTTTACAACCACTTGATAAAAAAATAGGGCCTAAAAGAGTGAGCTAAGCCCATAATTGGCCTGTTTTAACTTATAATTGGACTGATAACAACCATTTATTAGAAATTCTTTCGGCTGAAAAAGCAAAATTCCGGAAAGTTTGCATATGACCAGAGAAGAAGTTCGACATAAAATATACTTGTAGTTTTTTTTTTATTTAACTATACATGTCTTTAACAGTTTAAATCTATATTTTCTGGCTGTTATCTGCTCTGGTTAATTTTTCCCATTTTATTTAGAAAAAAGTGTAATGTTTTGGAAAAAATAGTTTGAACCGTTCTAATGTCCTAAAAAAAAATTTTCAATAAAAGTATGTTGCATTTTGTTTATTATGTTTTCATTTTCAGAACCCTATTACCCCCACAAATTAATATTAGGTGCTTATGGGTTTATAAGCATAGGTCCCAATTACCCCATGTGGGGTAATTGGGTTCCAAATTAATATTTATTTTTTTTTCATAGTAAAATGTATTTAAAAAAATGAAAAACAATGTGATAAGAAGACAAATTACAGTTGGAAACCTTGTGCAGGCTCATATTTTGATTTTTTCTGTCAATAAAAATATAATTGAAAAAAATAAAAACATGGGTCCCAATTTTCCCACTCTACCCTACCTAGGTACAGTTTTAATTTTTGTTAGTGTTTAGTTTTGTGTGTGTGTATTTATTTTCGTAATTAAGTTAAACTAGACTAAGTAAGTAAGTAAAGTTATTTTCTTTGCCATAGTGTCAGTGGCGTAGGAAAATACAAGACAAGTTACAAGTTATCTGCAAAACTACCTACTAATCAATTAAAAAAATGTTGATGCTTAAGTTACATAGGCTAATATATTGGTAACGTAGAAAGTTAAGAGTAGCATAGTGCCTAGGCCTAGTTATTAACCCTTCATAAGTGTGACAAGGGAGTTTTCCTCCTGGCACATTTAACTTATTAAAAAAAGTTGTTATGGCCGGCAGCTTAACCCTCCGAGTGTCCCTAGTTTTGGCCTTAATGTTTGCCTATTTTTTGCGCATTTGCAAGGTTTTATTAAAACGGATCTGAGAAGCTTAAAACCAATGTTAATTATACTGTTCTATATACCATTTTGTTTGGAAAATCATGGGCTTCAATATTATACGTAAAACATTAGGAACATTTGTTTCAAAAATTTTTTTTACATAGGGTAGGTAAAAAAAATACCTATTTTGGAAAATTTTCAAAAATAAAAGTTTGCGCTTAATGAAATTGTATAAGTTAAATTATAGGCCTATAAATATTTGAAAATAGCCACTTTGTTCTAAATTTTATGAGGATTACAAATATATAATAATACTAGCTGTAACCCGCGGGCTTTGCCCCGTTTAACTTCTTAATTTTCAAGATTATCTAGTTCGCATGGCTCAATTGTTCGCTACGCTCACTCACCTTTAGGCTGGAGCTCGTTCGCTACGCTCACTCACCTTTAGGTTGGAGCTCGTTCGCTGCGCTCACTTGCCTTCAGGTTAGCTCGTTCGCTACGCTAACTCGCCTCCAGGTTGAAGTTCGTTCGCTACGCTCACTCACCTTTTGGTTGCAAATTAGCTGTTGTCAAAATAAATGTAAAAGAAATAATAGTGCTGCACCCTGTTGGTAATCCTTGTAACTTTAATGCTATTGAACATCATAGAACAGAACCAACTTGTTAAGTTGAAACAGCTGTTAAGATTCAATAATTCCATTTCTCATAAGGTTAACATAGGAAACTCCAGAGCCACTGGGGCGGAGCCCGAAAGGATTTTTGAAATAAGAATATGCCTATATGTTAATCGGGAATGTGAGCTATCATCATGCCAAATTTCAGCCCAATCCGACCAGTATTTTTTGCGTTCACTTGTCACAAACATACATCCATACATCCATACATCCATCCATCCAAACTTTCTCATTTATAATATTAGTAGGATAGGATAAGGAAGTAGATTTGCAAATAAATAAGTTATGGACAAAAAACAGATTTCAGTACATAGCGTTTAGCTAAGAATGCATAGCCTAACCATAGCTAGGAATCTGGCTGATAATTTACATCACTACGGTACCTACTTCTTCAGGATCATCAACCAGCCCTTCAAAATCACTTAAATCTTCTTATAATGCACCAAGTATATCACTACTTTTGATTTTTAACACTAAAACAATGATAAACGTAATAAGACACATCAGTCATCGGTGCGAGGTTAACCAAGCTGTTTACAAATACGCACGTCAGCTGTCTGCTACAATTATGATCGGCTCAAGATAAAAAAGCGCTTAGAGACAGACCTCGAGAGAAAGCTTAGAATCTGCCAAATAAAACGATTCCTAACTCGATCCAGTTCAATCAGATTTTGTCAGTCATAGAGCCTTCGCCGTAAACAGTGTTTGTGAGTCGAAAAATCAACACAAAACACTACACAAAGTGTCGATTTTTCGACACATAACACTCGGAGGGTTAAAGAGTTACGGTACCATACTTCTCACACTTCTTTCTAGAAATTGATTGAACATAATTTTGCTCTTACTCTCTCCCTTCCCCGTTGCTATCCCTATTAATTAAACTTAATTTAATCAGTTCAAGTCTGAGAGTCACGTCTTAACATGGAGTCCACTCCCACGAGCTTCTGTAAAAAATAAATTGGCAGAGTCGAGTTTGCTTTTGTCCAAATTGTTTGCACAGGATGAAAAGGCTTGTGGCCTGATGTTCCATATGGCATGGCCATGTCACTTCCTTATCATTGAATAACATAAAACAGACCACTAAGTTAACTGCCCACTAAGTTAGTGATATTATTTAACCGCTATTTATTTTTATTTTTATTTTTTTTATTTGCACACAACATTTATGGGTTACAGCAGGTAACATCAAACTTGTGCATCGTCATTACATTTCTAAAAATGAAACAATACAACTAGCTATGACACAAATAGACATCTAAATATTTAACAAATTCTTCAACACTATACACTTAATTCTAGGAGGAGTCGCTTCAAATAAGACTTATAGCTAATTAAATCTAGCTGCTTTACATGGTTCGGTAATTTATTGTACATTCTTTTACCCAGCTCAAAAGTTGAATCAATTGTCCTTCAATAGTTGGTGAAACTATGTTAACATTATTTAAGTGTAACTGCTGCTGAATAGGCCTATATCCTAAATAAGATTCAACTATCGTAGCCTAATGAACGCTTATTACAAGAAAACAGTACTCTGTGAAGATAGAGAGAGAGAGAGAGAGAGAGAGAGAGTTGGCCAAGATCTACTTAAAAAGAGTACAAGTAGGCCTACTTAAAAACTAATAGGCTACGGTAGCTTATTAAAGGGTTCTTTATTGATAATTTATGTTTTTAGGTGAATAAAGATGGATGTCTTGTGAAGGCTTCAAAATTCTGTCATTAATGCACCGTTGGAGCAGCAAGAGGGAGATGATGGTAAGATTCACAATCCTGAAAACATGTAGCCTAATCAATAAAATGGAAACTGGCCAATATAATAAAGCTTACTCTTTATGCTGAAGAGAATGGCATGGAGCAAAAGGACTAAAACTGAATCAAGATAAAACCGAACTAAGTAGCCTATTAAATGTTTGTACTGCACAGACAATTCCGAAATAATCTTTAAAGGCGCCTGTTATAGTTTCTAGTACACATGATATTTAAAAAAATAATAACATCCTTATATTTTTTAAATAATCTTTAAAATACTATTTATAGAATTTAAACTGTTAGGCCTAACTCTTTTTATAGATGTGCTGATCTTATTTTAAAACAATTATCTTTAAATAATAATAATAAAAAATAACATAGGCCTACTTAATATTAGGATATTATCCTTTGGAGACTATATCAATATTATTTATGTTTCTATTCAGGGAGATGACCCACCCTACTTAGCTGTAGGTACTGAGGTCAGTGCCAAGTACAAAGGGGCCTTCTGCGAAGCAAAGGTTCGCAAAATTGTACGCAGTGTCAAGTGCAAGGTGAGTGCAAGTTTTCTACAATCAATTATAGAGTTAGTAAAAAAAAAAAAAAACAACCTAGATAAGGGTTCAAACATTAATTAATAACCTTTTTTGAAGGTAATAATTTTAAGAGTAAATAGACATTTACAGTAGACTCCCTCTAGTTCGGCTTCGGTTGGATCGGCCGCCGGATGGCCCGGCCCGATCTCAGGGGGACGAGTCATATCGTCACGGGTGAATTGCCTTTGACAGGATTCAACTTGAATGTTTAGTTTCCGGCCATAGAAGTAAACAATTCATGTCAGTTTAGTTGACGGGTGCTTCTATGGGTGAATTGTTGAATACCTATGTAAAACTATGTTACATAACCTCAAAAATACCGAGAACATTTTATAAATAGTTTTTCTTCGGTCTAATATGTTGAAATGCAGTGTATAATTAAATATTTCGGACCATTTTTTTATGCGAAAGTTTCCCCCATTATTGTTTTTGAAACACCACAGTTTATTTGACAAAAATAAATTAAAGCAAAACAAAGAAATAGCCATCGTTAGCTTCAAGGTCAAGCTATCCGCTTGCACTGACAATCATAAGCGTTTTAGTAAACGGCGCCCCCAGCCATATACCCCCCTCCCACCGGGGATTTCGATCAAGCTGGGGGGCGACAACATGCTTTTTCATGATCACCATAGTGCCTAGATAACAACAATCAGAAATAAAATTATGTCAGGCTTTCCATGCATAGGCCTACTCAACCCCCTTCGGATCCTGGACTATCAATTTGAAGTATGAATAAATCTTAGGTTTGAGGGAACCCAACTCAGCGAGGAGCATGGCAAGGAATTAGTGCAATGAATTTTCCACTGAATCTCGGTGGTTTAGTCCTCAAATGTTAAAGGGGACGAAGGGGATCTGAAGTCCTACGCTCTGACCACTAGACCAGCTCGCTCTCCCAACTCAGACAGTGTAAAGATTGGTTATACAAACACGTAACTTTCACAATAATGTTTAGAAACATTTAAAAACAGCGTGGTTTAAAAAAACTGGTTGTGTAATGCGTGCATAGAGCTGGCGGCAGTTTAGTGATGACAGCAATTAAATATATCTTTTCCTTTTGTCATTTTGACCATTTAGACTAAATAAGTAATAAAACGTAAATCCTTTTAAAAAATTACTTCCATCTCATTCTCGCTTTTATAAATAGCCAGCTTATATGTGACATTCAATTATTTAAACTGTTATGATTGTGTTTGATTACCATCAAGTGTAATTGACTATATACCTACATAATTATTAGTATTTAGAACACTTGAAACTCTTGATTATAATTAAGAATATTTAAACTAACTATTCATTATGTACATCTTGAAGTAAGATTTTAATTTTGGATTGGATACATTTAATGAAATATTTGAATTTGTTTGTTTAAATTAGTTTTAAAGAAAAGTGTTTGAAGATAATGACAAATACTTGGCCTAATAATTATTTTGCTTTCCAGCACAGCGGTATACACAGTGCCTATTTATATACTCCACTTTAGTCTCAAACCCCTAAATTTTAAATGTTGTTATGTAGATTTGCTATAACCTGCTTGTTTTATTTTTTTATTCAAACAGTGTTACCATATACTATTTAATTCAGTTATTCTTTTTGTGTGTATTTTTAAGTGGGGATGAAAAGTATCGCTCATAACTTGTAGGCTGTCTTCGGCTTTGCCGCATGGATAAAATTTAGTTCCTATGTTTGGCTTGGCCTCACACATGAAACTTGAGCATGCACCAGAAAATGATTTTTTGTACTAGTAATGACATGTTATCCTGCTACTTTGTCAGTGTTATAGTTTTCTTTATACAGAAGAGGCCGAGTTGAAGGCTGCTTGAGTAGCCTATATTAAAAAATGTAAATGATTGATTGTATTATTAGATTTAGATTTTATTTCAGGGAATTCAGTGAAAAGTAGGTTTTCATGTTGATTGAGACTGTGAAATTAACTATTTATTTATCAGTGGTATAGTTTTGGATATTTGTACTGTTGGCCTTAGTTGACACTGAGACAATGTCTATTTAAATCTGTTTTTGATCAATCAAAGTTAAGTTCCTGAATTTAATTGTGATTTTGACACATAACATACCAATTTGTAGGTATGAAATTGTGTGATCTAATTTAATTCTTAAATTAAATCTTAATCTTAATTATTTCACAGATTGCTTATAAACTTGGACTTGGCACTGCAGTGGTTACAGATGATCAAATAAAAGGGACTCTACGGGTAAGTAAAACGATGTTTGAAATCAAGCCATTCTCTTTTCCAACAAGAGATTTGAAATGATTAAGTGTGATTTAGTTCTCATTGATAATAAATTAAAAAGAAAAATTATCTCTTTTACTTGGTGGCGTTCTATGACGTTTCTGTTTCCATAGTTACAAACCGGTTACACATCGGTTCTTTCAATGATTGCTCAAAGAAATACAGTACTACTATGTCAAAAAAATTTTTTTTTGGCAAAATATATAAAATTGTCCAAGCTTTCTCGTTTTTTTCCATCGCAATATGTACCCAAATTCAAATAGTAAATATTTAATTTTAACCAAATCTGTAGGCGCAAATGTTTAAAAAATTGAATTGAAACTAAGGTTGAGTTGTTGTTTGGATTAACAGCAATTAAATTGTCCAGCTGATCGTAATGTAAACAAATATGTTCTTCATAAGGATAGCATGAAAACTTCAAAAGCCACTGGGGCAGAGCCCATGGCTTAAAAATGTATGATCAGTTTGCAAATCTACACGACACGCTCTTTCCAATGAGACGTGAATGGTCAAAATCGGTTAAGAAATGACAGAGTAGATCAAAGGACAAATTTTGTGTTCGGGTATTAATTATACATATTTTTGTCTGGTAATAAACCATTCTCGTTGCCATAATATTTGGTTTTGTAGGTGATAATTAATTGATTGTGTACGATAGTAAAATATTTATAAATGAATGGCGTACTCTTCAATTATCCTCTTTTCTCATTGTTTTTTAGATGTTTTCCCATTAAAAGTTCCCTCTTCTCTAACGCAACAAAACCATCTTATAAGCTTGTTATGTGAAAGAAATAGAGTATTTAATCTTAAATATGTTTGGTATTTATTACTTGGTGTTTATTTGTAATTCAGTTCAGGCAGTAGGTTACTTAAGTGAGCTCAGAATGAGACAGATAGTTATACTTTTGATTTTAGAACTACTAATCCAAGAGACTACTTAGCACATTGAAAAATGAAGAAAACATGTTTCTCAGCAAATTTAGCTTTAATAAAAAAATTTCACATTATTATTTAGATTACTGGTTTATTGACATATCTTTTTTACTTTCCTCAATGTTGTAAACGTATGTTCTCGCTTAACCAATTGTGATTACTTTGGTTAATCACTTATCCTATCATGTAGTTTACTTATTGGTAGGTGTAGATTGTTTTATACAAAGATAGGTCCATCAATCTCTGTCTACATTATATGTCCAGGCTGGTTCTGTAGTCGAGGTCAAGCATCCTGACAAGAAAGAATATGTCGAAGCAACTATCATCAAAATCCAGGATTGCAGTCAGTATACTGTTGGTGAGTAATTATATTGCTTGGTTTGTAATGTGATAGATATTTTATGTAAACAACTTTCAGGATTATGGGATAAATTGAAGTTGCTTATGCTTCCCGAGTTTAGCGACAAAGGAGGGGTGTTGATCTGTCAGTCCTGAGTGCATGTTACAGGATGCTGGAGATTTTTTCACAAAGTAGCCTATGAAATAAGAAATTTAAATCGCTAACACCTTATAAGAAACAAATACAAAATATCTACATCGCTAAAAAATAAGTCAGTTCAATATAAAAGCTTAAATTTCTAATCTTCGCCATCGAAGCTGCTCTCAATTTTCCCTGATATTTTACCAAGATCTCAGAGACATTAGTGATGTCCATGCAAACCCTGGGAGTGTTAAAGATCAATAATTCTAGTGTCTATGAAAAAATTGGTTATAAGTATTTGAATTTAGAACAAAGTATGTTTTTTGTATTTTCGATAATCCTATACCTATAATAATAGTTAAGCATGTTTCTTGAACACTTTTTTCTCAGCTTGTGTGCATCACAGGGAAAATCTATGCATACTGTTAGAAAGATATTTGCCTGTAGATGTGCAGAATCCCTTTATAAATTAACTTAAAATAGGCTAAACACAACACATGAATTTCAAAATTAACATGAGCCTTATGGGTTGCCATGCTGGTGACGAAATAACAACAAAATATAAACAGAAAATCAAAACAAATGGAAGAAGTTCCATCATGTTTTATTTACAGCGTGGGGTGAAAATAGAGATGTTTGCGCAATTCATATTTTTGGTTGAGTTTTCAACCACGGGGTGACCTCTAGTTTCAGTTGATTGTGCCAATGTTGTGTATATGATTTAATCTCCCATTTTTAAAGTTTAAATAAAATCGTTAGTTAAAAACCAAGTCTAAGGTTTTCCAATTTATTCCTTCCTACAGTAGAATGTAACAGGGAGATGTTAAAAATACTGTCACAATAGTGGGCTGGATTATGTCTTTTCCATTGCAGGGGGTTTGCAAGATTTTGCCCCTATCACAGAAGATGATGATGATATTCCCTCATGATTGCGGGAGATGTTCAAAATGTTGGTGCTCTAGTGGGAGATCATCTTGATAGTGCCACTATTTTCTATATAATACCCGGAATTTCGGGTAAAAGTCCAACTAGACAAACTTTTCTCCATCCAACTGTGGTACCGTCCCATTTGATTTGGATAATTAGAGTACTAGATTGTGCTGTCATTTTTATTGGTATTCAATATTCGACTGGATATTGGAGTTGAAACAAAAGAGCACTCTCTAATGCCATAGAAGACAGAGCTTTATGCCACTGCCTTGTGTTTAAGTAAGCTGTGTTGGTAGTGTATACAACACCATGTTGACAATAGCTTGTTGTGTTGTAGTGTTTGATGATGGAGATATCACAACACTGCGCAGGACTGCTCTCTGCCTCAAGAGTGGTCGACACTTTGCAGAGAGTGAGACTCTGGACCAACTACCCCTCACTCATCCCGAGCACTTTGGCAACCCTGTGATAGGAGGACGGCGAGGCCGCCGCAACAGACAGTGAGTGTGCATTCATGTAAAAATGCTACAGATTTTGAGCTCATTCATGAATTTGTTGATTTGGAATATAATGAGCCAACACCTTAACTAGTAATTCAGGCTTACACCTCTGATTACCCAATTTTGTATGAGTTGTATAAAAATTGTAAACAATTAAAAATATTCAATAAGTAAATTCAAATAAATTATTATTATGACTATTATGTTGTGTTGGTAGCTGATTCTAATTGTTGCTTCAGCTGATTCTTGGCAAGGCAAAAGTACCTTTACTGGAAGTTACGGTTGAAATCTCTGTACTGGTACGTCTGTTATTGAGGCTATGTACTGTGGTATCGAGGGAATTGTGGATACGGCTTATGTAATTATGTCCCTCTATTTACATTAGTGATTGGTGTACAGTAAATCAAAATTCTAAAACTGCCAAAAATTAAAGAAGCTAACGTAGAAATACCTCAATCATCTCCTGTGATTGCGGCAACATTAATAATCATCCCTCGTGGTTGCAATTTTCTTTTAACGCGACAACATGTAAAGAGAACAAAGAAATGCTGGTTACAGAGAAAATAAAAAAAACTCTCTGTTATTCTTAAAGAAAATAAGTCAGACTGGTTTTAAGTAAAGCTGCTATAGCTTGCTTGTTTGTGCATATATTTTTATTAAAACTTATTTATTTTACTCTGAACTTTTACATTTGATTAAAAGAACACTATTTTCCTTCCCTGAAGCAGCAGATCTAATTACTCATTAAACCTTATGTTATTTGAATAGAATAAACATCTAATATATACGATCAGGCAAATGGAAATTCGCCTTATCTGTAGGTTTGCTGCAACAGAGGTTTTTTCCAATTTTTTCATGATTCACCTGAACATCGTAGAACGCTAGGCTCTAGCATCAAACTGTTTTACACACCATTTCAGACTAGTCCTAGATGGCATTATCACATGGATAAAGTTTATTGTTGTTTGACGGGAGTCCAATCTAAGACCTCGGGTACCGAAGCTCTGCGCATTACCACTAGACCAGTTCGCTCTCGATGGTACTGGTAATTAGAACAAATCTATTTTGGTAATACCATTGACTATATATACCTACAGAAGACATCCCATAGCCATAGTGGACCTGTCGCCAGCAATTTGTTGGCTAGGAGCGCTAGAACAGCGCTAGCTTGTGGTGCGATCTATCTGTAAAGGTTAGAAACAGTCTCGACGCATGCGCAGACGAGTAGATGAGTACTGTACTGAGCAGTCGACCGCTCAGCGCTCAGCTCCTCCTGCTACGATCAGACGATAGCTGTGAGGCCGTGAGGGGGCGGGAGAGTGGAGTAGTGGAGAGAGTATACAATGCGTCGCTGTCACTACAACAATATCCAGAATGAAAGACAATGAGCTGAGCAAAAACTACTCTCGATCAGCTGTGGTGACACGGCACTCGCAATACACTATGTGAATGTCTTCTCACCGCGTGCCCTGGCGCCCTACTATTGTTTCATAAAAATGAATTCGTGCGTTAATGGTGTTTGATGGTTTGACTAGACCCAGGTTTCATACTCTTTACATTATGTTGAGACACACACGATATTGTTAAACAACGCTATATAAACCTACTATTGGTACAATTTTTTATTTTTTAAATTTGTATTCGAAGCTTACAATTGATTGAAGTTTGTGTAATTTGTTGTTATGTTACCAGCGACTAATTACTCCTTACTTTATTCAAGAAGTAATAAACCATGACTTTTTATAAGAAGTTTTTATCCTACCAACTATGTTAAATTAGTGTTGCTAGATATTTTACATGCATTTTCAGTAAAATGTAATAAATAAGCAATAACTAGGATTTAGGACTTGAAGTATTAAATGATATGGGCCTATTTTGACTACTTACACATTATGAATTATATAATGAACATTTGAATTGTCATCTAGAAAAGTTTGAAGACTTAATTTTAACACGTATAACATACAGAATAACATAACAAGGATCACGCCTGATGCCGTCACCGCGTTGTGGTATAAGTCAAATAAGTACAATAGTAATTATACTACTTTATACTTCGGACGACTTAAATAAAAACCGAAATAAAATATTCTGCATTTATGCCTTAGTAAGGAATTTATCTTCAAATTAAACGTATTTACATAACATTTGTTTTTATTTGGCGTACTTGGCGTACAAGACGAAGAAAGATGGGATTTATACGTGCAGTTTCGGCCGTCGGCCATCTCCATAGTTTGATTGTTTACCCCATTGCTGTGGAGGGGTTGGGGGGGCGGGTGTCGCGATAACAGGAGACGTCAGTTCCATAATGTGTAACTCTGAGTGTTACGAACATAGAGTGTTTATGATTAACAAACTATTAGGAGCAAAACTCTATTTTAAAATGAAGGAGTGCTCGAAAGAACTGAGGCAACCAGGTGGTAAAGTAGGAAGGTTTCAGCAAAAAATTAATATTCTCGAGGGCAAATGAGTAAATTGTACAAAACATCAATTTAACTTATAACTCCATTACACATTTTTTGAATTTAATTTTGAAGTTGTGTATCATGTCCTAACCTCAACTCCTTATTCTCATTAAAATTAAAATGAAATAATTTATAAATAAAAAACTTTTTTTAAAAGAAAAAGTTTTTAAATGCACTAAAAAGGAGAAAATAATTTATAAATATGTGGAGAGTATAAATACTTGTAAGATTAAAACAAAAAACGAGGGGTGCATGCAATAAATAATTTAAAATTAGCTTCACCTATTGAACTAATGTATTATTATCAATTAATTGCATCTGCATGCACCCCACGTTTTTCGTTTAAAATCTTACAAGTATACTCTCCACATATTTATAAATTATTTGCTACTTTTTAGTTTTTAATGTGTGTGGATGTTAAATCTATTTCATGCATCTATATCAGATTAAGACAGAGGCATGTCGGAAATCTAAGGGAATCTCTTGGGAGCAGAACCTGTACCTCTTAACCTCTGCTTTTTGAACTGTCAAATTAGTATTTACAGCTGACTTTAATTAAATGATATATTTACATTCTTTCAAAATGTAAACATGGAAAATGTGGCAGCCAGTGGGGCATAGCCCAAGGGAAATATGAAAATTAAATGCTATAATATTGCATTGTCATCCACTTAAGAAATTTTCATGCAAACACGTTTCCAAACATCGCATTTGTGTCTTAGTGTTTCAAATTTAAAGTCTCTAGCTCATTGGGAACTTCGTTTAAAATTGATATCAAAATTTGTAGGAAAGTGAGCTAATAAAAACAAGCCCATGGGGCGTAGTCCAAGAGAAATATGAAAATTAAATGATATACTATTGCATTGTCCTCCATTTGTGAGCTATGTTTCAAGTTTCAAGTCTCTAACTCATTGGGAAGTTAGTATAAAATTGATTGCAAATTTTGTACCGGACAAGAAAGCGAGCTAATACAAACGTTTTAAAATAAAGTTCTGGAGTCTATGACTGTTAAAGATTGTATAATAAGAGAATCGGAGCTGATTTTTGCGATGTAATACAAACATATTTTAACACATTAAATCCACTGCCTGTTTATGTAAATAATGCTCTTATTGTTAAAATCTGAAATTTTTTAGCAATCATTAAACTAGAATTTTATGATAAAATTTTAAATAGGTTTGGGACATCATAATTACCCAAGTAATTACGCTAGTTCCACCAGCCCAAACAAGGGTAAACCATATATGCTGAATCCATACAAGTTCCAATGCTGATAAATTGTAAGATATTAATTTACAATAGATCTTAATAACTTAATAGATTTTAATTTATTCGGAACTGATATTACAATGACAACGCATTGTTTGTTTAATTTTTAGAGTTTTGTGAGTACAGACATAATTTTATAATGTTAACTGGCCGTATGAACTTGTACGGAGCGAGTATGAGGATGAACATACTGCGTTGTCTCTGTCTGTCGTCGATGATAGGACGGCGCCGGCGTGGCGTCAGACAGAACACTGGCTCAACCTACCCCTCTGCTCACCATCCCTCACACCAGTCACCACACACACACATACCATAAACACCACACTAACACATTGACGCTAGCTGGTCTGACCCATCGATTTACAACACGTCTGACCTTGATTAAATGCGTACACACTAGTGTACAGTAGTTGACAACAGTTCATACTAAATGTCAGTTGACAATCAATCTACCAGAAAATTACAGTACTTTGAACTTGAGGTTAAGCATTTTAAGATCTAAATAGTATTAATGTATTGTACCGATGGACACACCACACGTTTTTAAGAAGATTTGTAAGGAATCATGTTTCAGTCCTATTGAGGGGGGGCGCCAAAATAGGTTTGTTCGGGTCTCGTGTTTATGTTTTGAAGACTTCTTGACGACCTCCTAGGAGCAACAACACGTCTTAGGCATGACAATGACACCATGGTGTCGAAACCGGTCGCTATGCAGACGACTAATGGATTACGTTGGCAAGAAAAAAGTATTTAACCTCTAGAATATATTGTTATTTTATTGATGTAAAAATACATTTAAAGACAGCAACGTATATTTGCAGTGCTTTAATGTAGTTTTCACCACACTATGATGTTTCAGCTGTTTTACATACGTTAATTGGTGGCTGAATGTTACATTTTGCTGGCCATGCCAGCTGTCATCGTTATTCGGGGACCGAGCAGGTTTTTACATCCTTAGGGACGCAAAATCAGCTGTCCACTTACTTTCTTACAACACGAATGCATATTAAATACACATTCAGTATCCATAGCATTACAATATAATTGTTTTATTTTCAACGCTGCCTAGCAACTATTTATAATTATTTTTGATGATTCCTCAAATTATTTCTTCACATAACCTTAAAGTGTTTGTAGTGTTGACTATGTGTGCATTATTATTGCGGTGAATAGTGATAAATAGTTTTAATAGGCTATAGTGTGTTGAAAAATAGCGTTCGTACCACGAACCGAAATGGTTTTCGGCCCTAGGTACGAAATATACTATTTTATGAGTTTGTCATACAATTATTTACCGCACATATTGTATTTAACCGAGAACTGAAATGCAAATAAAGGGTGCTCAACTTTAATTAATTAATTAAAGCATTATCCTTTTTAAGCTGTTATTTTTAACATTGAAGTTTGTACTTAGCCAAACTCAAATCAATTAACTTACTTAAAATACCACGAGTACTCAATATTTTTGCGCAACATATTAATTATGCCTATATTTATTTGAGTACTCGTTCACATCATATCATATGTCCCCGTACCACACAATCGCGCAACACACATGCTAATGTTATCGTGTGTTTGACGAGCGCCAGCTTGTATTCATTGCCCGAAGTTGTAAGTAGTGTAGCCAGTGTAGCAGTGTAGCGACGGTAGCGACGTAGCGTAGCAGTGTCAGTCACGTGCACGTGGTCGGTGGGGAAGCGAGACAAGGAGAGAGAGAGAGAACGAGAAGGAATGTGCGAGTGAGAGCGATGCAGAGCTGGCCGCGGGGCGAGGGGGGAATGTGGGAGAGAGAGCGCAGATAGAAAAAAAATCCTACTATCGCGCGCCTACCGGCAGCTTACATCAAATACTTGCTCCCGAGACCTGGCTCACACTACTACCGGCCCATAAGCGTGGTCTGTCTTCTGTAGGTATATATAGTCAATGGTAATACCCAATGGTTTCTTTTCTGTTAATATTGCCATTTCAAGGAATAAAGCTGGTTACAAAACGTTGTGTCTTTGTCAAGAATTTCCTCTCCAATAATAACCTGTCTTTTATATTTATTAAAACTTTTTTATTTTCCAATTGATTATAGTCACTTTCATTTAGTAATCATTTTCACAACTTAAAATTGAGTTTTACATTGTGCCGTGATTTTATCTGATCATAATGGTAAATGTTACAGTGATGATAGCAGTGATGACGATGAGTCAATCAAGAAAGGCAAGCAGCCTAAGGAGGAAAAAGAAGCAGACATTGGGAAGGTGGTGTGTGTTGAAATAAGCGAGAAAAAGAAACAGAAGGACAACTGGTTCCCTGGACTAGTGGTGGCACCTACTGCTCAGGATACTGTCAAAATAAACGTCAAAGAAGACTATCTTGTACGCTCTTTTAAAGATGGCAGATAGTGAGTATTGTACTATGTAAACCTGTAATATAGAATTCCTGTAAAGAGTAGAAGACAGATTACAAAATGAGCTTAGCTAACATTTAATTTCTTTAAAAAATTACAATAGTTTTTCTTGATCTTAGATTGAAGCAAATATTTTCCTCAATACTGCATTTTCAAATACAATAAATTTGTCTCCAAAGCTTTGTATCAGTGACCATGTTTCCAATCCCTGCAATATTATTGGAAACATGGTGTCTCCAATACCAGTCGAGAATTCTGGGAACTTTGGGGAAAAGTCAGGAATTTTGAAAGGTCGGGAAAAGTTGTGAAAAAGTAGATTCAGCCGTAGGTCGGAACTATGCCTAATCTAACCCCTCAAAATTACAGATGTACGGGTCCCAAACTTTCAGAAAATTTTAGGGATCGTGTATCCCGATCATTGGGACGGGATTTTCTCGGCACATGATTCACTCCGATCATCGGTGATTTCGCCGCGTCATGAGTAGCCATGATGATGTTTCCTCAATCGCTAAAAATATTGTCGCTATCGCAGCTGACGATGACGATGTCTCCACGATTGTGAGAGCAGATGTTCACGATGATTCCGGGAACCCAGGAGATGCTGATATCTCCGTGATCGCGGAGATCTTCACGCTTCCTCCGTGACAGCGAGACATGTCAAAGATGGTGCTGTCAACGCGGGATATGTTAATGATTGCGCCGCAGGCGTGGGACATGTTGTATAAGGGTCTGACTGATGGTACTGTGACCAGAAAAAGGTGTACCGTAGTTACATGGAGAATGAACCAAGTTTTGGTATGGATTAAAAAAAATGGTAATAAAAAAGTTGGGAAAAATTCGGGAATTCCATTTGAGAAATCTGGTAGACACCCTGTGGACTATCTCTTGGTTTATAAAGAGAGACATTTCTAAGATTTTTTATCAGGGACCAGGAAACTGTTGAGGTTGCGGCTAACTGACTGTTTATTTTATTTCCAACTCTGTTGTCTGTCGTAATTACTACTCCAGGCTACTTACATTCTGAAACCCTTAGAAAATAAAATATCATGAACATTCATTTTCATTTTCCTTAGCCCTTTTATCTAATATCATATATTTTTTGCTTTTTATTATTTTTTTTTGCAAGTTCCACAAACTTAGCTTCTTGTGTTAGGGTTATTGTTAGATTCTAGCAATGCTGTATCATAATATTATGCTAAAATATTATCTTTTCAATAATTATTCCTCCATGTTTTGGTTCCAAGGACATCTTCTAGCACTGAATTAATCAAAATGGGTGACAACCATCACTCTTTTGTAGGTACTCCTATGAACATATTAACACCCTTGGTACATCCATTATTTACTTAACTCTACTTCTCCAGTTGATTATACACATTTTTGTTAATCCTATCTACTTGATTGGATTACCTGTGGAATTACACCTAAATTTAATGGTGCCGTATTGATATGTGACTAGAAAAGTGAAAATATTATTTTTCAATTTAGTGCCATGTAGACATTATTAGCTGAATATTGGATGTGTTATTGAAGTGTGGAGGAAATGAGTAATAAATAATGTTATTACAGTTACTAGAATTTCAAACATTTTTCTACTTTTCAGTTATACTGTTCCCAAGAAAGAGGCAACACTTTTTACCAGAGAGATAGGACAGAAAGTGGATAACAACACTCTAAGAACAGGTAAAACTCTACTGTTTGAACTATATCTCAATCATAGATCAAACATACTACCTTAGTAGTCCCCTCGGTCACGCTGTTTATATTACCAATTTCCCACCTCCACAAGTTATATAACCAAACAGTAACAAATCATGAAACCAACCCTAAAATAATGGATTTTTTTTTTCGACATGAAACATGAACTAGACACAAAATATGAGCTTCAAAATGTACAATGGGATGAGAAGTTAACTTGTTTTGATTAGTCTATGATCTCAATGTATGCTATTGCTGATTAACACAAAATGCGGCGTCAGTATGAGGTACATCTTTTTACTAAGCAGCGTCTGATTGACCAGTGTTAATAAATGTTTTGTTGCTTGTTTGATCCCTCAGCTAATAATGATCCCTCATGGTGGAGTTTGTCAGAAGATTAAATAATTTTAATCTCCTGACAAACTCCACCAAGAGGGATCATTATTAGCTGGACATTCTAATCTGATGATGTGCTCTATTACCGACATCACATAACAGCTGTAGTTAATAATAATACTAAAATTAATAATTTGAACAGACAATAGGTAACTTTAACGTAAACCTAATTAGGCCTATCACTATCTTAAATAAATATTGACCAAAATTGAATACAATTATAGCTTTCAAAACTAAAGAAATGTTTAAATTTAAATGCCGGCATCCCTCTTCCTATGACTAAAAAAATTCCTAAGTGCTCAATAGGACAAGGAATCAAGCTGTCTGTTATTTTACAATTTAACCAAATGAAGCACCAGGATATTGAATTAGGTATGTAGGTTTGTAAAGTATGTCTGATACCAGAATACAATTAGTAGGCCTACCAGCTACAGTAATCATAAATTTTTTGTAGTTTGAATTTTTCTCAATAGCTGTTATCGATCACGGCACCATAGTAAACATTTCCCGTAATCATGGACACATCATTACCGCCATCTGCAATTGCTGTGAAATTAGAACATTTTCTATAACTCAACCCTCGCAGACGCTTTGTGCAATAATATGGCCAAAGTAAGATATCAAGCTGCTTGCACACCTGTCTACACTGGTACAATGATTGTTGATTGTTTTACAGCTGTTGAGAAGGCCCTGCTGTTCCTGGACAGAGAAGAGTTGCCTCCTCACTGGGACAGAGAGCTGCTGTTTGGCCTCAATGAGATTACAGATACTGATTCTGACGGGGCTTTTGATTCTGATGTAAGTGCAAATTATTGAAAACTACAATGTATTCCTTTAAATTGGACTAAATTAGGCACACATAAAGTTAATAGAGGAAAACATGAAAGTATTACTGTACCTGGCATGGACATATTTAGGAATCATATATTATAAACCTTCTCTTAAGAGTATACAATTCCTAGGTCTTACTTTGCAAAGTACTGAACAGTAATACTTCCTTCCCTATCGGTTAAAACTGGGAAAATTTTACTGATTCACTTTTTTCTAGGACTTACATAGGTTCTCTTAGGCTTGAGTTGTTTATATCGTTGAGTCTAGATGGATAAACATAACCTGTAACAGCTGTTTTTGTTAACTACCGCTACAAAAAGGTGTTGACGATAACATCGGCAATTTCAAGGGCTGTAGGACAGAAACCGGATTTTCCCCGTGCATTGTGACCAACTCCAATCGATTTCTCATGGTTAAATATCCCATTACCACAAAAAAAATTAAATCCTCTGGACGAAAATAAAAGTTTACTTGTACACACGCTTGTTTTAGAGTATAGGATATAAAGCTTTGTTAAGATCACCATTTGATCATTATTTTAGTTAATGCCTTTTCTAATTTCAGTAGCAAAAACACACACAGTTTTATGTTTTTCCTGCAGCAGCCAAAACCTAAAGTAAACTTACTTACTAAATGACCACAATGTTGTTATTGTTAATATTAGTTGTTGTAGGTTTGTCTTTTTCTAGTTATGAACCTTTTGGGATACATTCAATAAATCAACTGGAAATTCTTGTAGTTTGCAGGTTTGTTGCTGCAACAACAGTGTTTTGGACTTATCGAATCTTACAAACAACTTAACGATCATAGTTTATTTTGTTAGTTTGTTCAATAGGTAGTACTTTTGAGTGACAGTATCCCTTCATAGTTTTTCATAATGAAGTAAGCTTTTTTCACTAGTTGTAATTTGACAATCTGTTCTCAGACGTCAGATGATGAGCCTCGTGAGGAGAAGGATCACTTTGTGGCACAGCTGTACAAGTTCATGGATGACCGGGGAACGCCCATCAACAAGGGACCTACTATCAACGGTCGAGATGTTGACCTTTACAAACTGTTCAAGGTTGGTTATGTTTGTTTATGATTAATATTTCTGTTATTGTGCTATTGGCATTTTTTTAGTTTTTGAAAGAGAACGGTATGAATCATGGTCTTGTTACTCTGTACATCATCCATCATAAATTAGATAGCATCAGTACAACAAACAACACCCACAACGACTCAAAGACAAATAAATGGCATCTATGTCTATGATTCAATCGTGCTCGGGTATGAACCAATAAACCTTCAGAGTGGAAGGCGATGTCTACAAACATTCAGCTATTCAGACAATCAATGTCAATATTATTGTACTGAGTTAGTATCATAAAAGGTCTTCGAAAGCTACTGAATCTTTATTACTGTTAGCAGCAGACAATGATAGCTCATACCTGAGTATCAAAAATGTTCATCTATTTGTCATAAAGTTGGTTTACAAGAAAAAAGTCTGCAATGGCTGTTGTCCCAACATTCAACCAGGTTTTTATAGATAATTGGACTTTTACTTATTGAAAAGAATCAGCTGGCAGTAGTCTGTAAAAAAAATTATACAATACATTCTCAAATTCATGTTGCACTTGTACTGTACTTGGATTAACATAGCCAGCGCTGGATTACCATTTCATTTAAGAAAATATGTAAATATTTAAAAACACTGTGCAGGATGTTACAGCAGAAATGATAAAAACTATTTTTGAAATGAAGAATTTTTAGAAGAAGAAGTTAGGCTAAGTTAATAATAATAAAGAATAGCATAAAGGGTTCTTTTGTGCCAGACTTATTCCGAATCAGCATAGATAAATGATCCTTTCCCTACTACCAGTTCTGGATGTTATCTCGCATGCCAAACTAACAACTTGTAACTCGAGTAGCTAACTAACTTTACATGTTAATATGTGATTGACAGGTTGTTCATAAGTTGGGAGGATACAACAGGGTAACTAACCACAACCAATGGAAGACTGTGTCTCACAAACTGGGATTCGGCCACAACCCCACATCTGTCAATTTGGTCAAGCATGCTTACAAAAAGTAAGTCACAACGCAGATTACTCTAAAATATAAATTGTTGGTAGGGTGGGAATTTTGCCGGAAATCTACAGAGGGGGATGAGTACACGAGTGTAGAGTAATAATTACTCGTTAGTATGGTTGAGTAGTTCCAACATGAGTCGAGTTGTTGGTCAGGAGCACAAAAAAAAGGTTTATCAGATGTTGGTTTACGAATTTATTACCAGGGTTGTCATGCAATTCCAATCCCATTTGACATTTCATCATGACAGTAATAGCTTTAAGAAAGCTATAAAATTCAAACAGTGTATGTTAATTTGCTGTCTCATACAGTAAACAACTGCCTGTTGGCAAAACTGGTAATGCTAATGATTTATACATACTTTGAGACTGGAAAGAGATTAATTTTACAATTTTATTTCATTACTCTTGGTCTATCTGGAAACAGAAGAGAGTATAAATGTTTAAAAGAATAGGGATGGGCTGTTTATTTAAGTTGGTTGTTGGTATTCCTACTGGTTTTAGCCAGAAGATGTCTTAGATGACCAATATGAATGAATTTTAATGCCCAAACATTATTGTTTCTTTAAAAAAATCATTATTATTATTAGACTTTACTGAACGAATTTCAGTTATTAGCTTTTTTTATGTAATTGTTTTAGTTAGTTTGTGGCCACATATTTTAGGTATGTTTTACATTGATTGCATCATAACAGGTTGGATTTCCTATCAGGTGTGGAGACATCAGTTTCTTGACTGCCCTTGTGTTTGCAGGTTTTTGCACAGTTTTGAGGACTTTTACCGCAAGTTGGGATGTACTATGGTGAACCATCCAAGAGGTCATCGCTCCCGTCATCGCTCCAATCGCAGCCTGATAAGGGACAAAGACAAAGCTCTGCCTTCCAAGGTATAGGAGGCTTAAGATTGGTGATGTTTCGGTTGCAATTTTTATCGGTTTGGCTTTTATTTTATTGGTTGTCGGTTTTCAGTGATTTTTTATTTGTTTTAAGTAGATAAAAATATCACCCGCTTATATTGCAGCTTAAGTCACACTAATGAAAAATTTATTTGTTTACAAAATATTGTTGGCATTCTTAGGTTTTTGCAGGCTTATTGTTGGTAAAACTTTTGAGTTTCACTAATTACTGATGGAAAATGCATGCATTAACTCTTGAAACAAAAAAAATAGGTATCTATATATTAATACGCAAGTAGGTTTCTTTTCACAGTCATAACTCGGTAACGGTTAGACGGATTTTAACGTTTGAGGTGTCAAATTAAAGGTATTTTCACGTAGATGTGCAAATATGTCTCAGAATATTAAGAAAGGGCCCCACTTAAGTACACTTAAGGGCTAAAGTTTGGAAGGCGGCGCTATCTGTTGACATTAGATCAAACTAATTTCCTTTTGTTTACAAATAACACATGGACGTTGTTTGAAATAGTTTATAAGGTTAACCACAGACCTCAGGACTTAAAACTTCCAGAGCGAAGCTAGAATTTATATTTTGTTTTCAATCCGTTAACCAAGTCTGGTTCATAATAAAGAGTTTCCTAGCAATACTAGACAACAAAGTGTTTGTAAGTTGGCGTCAAGAGAGGAATTGAGCTACATTAGGTCAAAAGCTCACTTTATAGTGTGTGGTTGACTTCTACGTGCTCATACCTCTCAGTCATATCAATTATTTTAGAGGGACTCTTTCATTAAGGTCTTGCTGTTTATGTTTTTTGTTTGTCCTTTTAATACAAGTTTCAGTTTTGCTCGATTTAGAGCAACATGTTATCTAGTTAATAATTATTACTCATTAATTAAGTACTCATTATGCACGTATCATGTCAGGACTATAATCTGTGATCGCAGAACTATTGTGATCATCTCCGACATTTGAACGGTATTGAACATTGAACATTTCCCGTGGGTCTTGATTATGTACTGCGATGACTAAAACGTCATTAATGTTTCCCATGAAGACATCCCGTTTTAAACGGTGAAAACCTAAAAACTCATTATCAAATGTGCCATTAAAAACAATTTTGTCATCATTATCCTACCCGCTCAAAAAATAATTTTTAATATCTGAGACATTGCCTTTTGTTCATGAATAATATTACATGAGTTTTTGGCTTAGCAACAGTTTACCGGATAACTAAAAAAATTTATATTTCAAAATTTTAAAATAAAAGGTTATTTAGTTGCCAACTACAGAAAATGAAAATAACAATGAGTACATGTTTGCTTCTTTTGATTTTTTGGTTATATTTTAATAGTCTTTATTTTCATAGTTCAAAAATATTTTATACACTTCATTCTTCTTGAATTGGCATTAATTTAGGGTTTTTAATGAATTAGAGTACTAATAGATCCAAATTTTTAGTGAGTTTCCTTTTTTCGACCTACAAGTTTTAACCTGTAATTTTTTTATTAATTTAGAACCTGGAACACATGGAGTTTTCCTTGAACTTTATTTTCAGTTAGTGCTGGAAACCCTGCTGTTTAAAGATCTTAACCTAAATGAACCATGCCTAGCTAAAGCCAAATTTTTATGGTGTATCATGTACTTTCCACTCTTTTCCATATATACTCCATGACATAACAACTCATCTTCTTTTTTTTCGGTCTACAATTTTCTGTGTACTTAAACATTTAAGTTTGATTATTTTTTCAGGAGAAACAAGGTGAAAAAGATGGTGAAGAAATAAAAGATGAAACTACAAGTGAATCTATTAAAGATAAAGATATCGTGACTAAAGACGATCTAAAACCAAAAGAAACTATCAATGATAACCCAAAACCTTTAAGAAAGGACTCACAGAAACTTCTCAGGAATGAGAAATCAGAGAAAAAAGATGAAACTAAACCCCAACCATCTGCTTCAAAAATTGTAGAATCACCAATAATTAACAAAGCAAATAAAGAAGAAAAAATAAAAAGTGATGACAGAGAAGAAAGAATAAAAATGAGGGAGATGTTGAGGCATGATAATAACTCAAAAGATGATATTAAGGCAGAAAAAGATACTAGCACAAAACCAGTTAAAGATGCTAAAAATGATGAGAATCAACGAGTATTTAAGGGAACTCGCAGAGAATTGAAAGATGGGAAAAAAGAAGAAAAAGAAGATGAAAAAAATAAAATTTCTAGTGAAAGAGAAATCAGACCAAAAAAAGTGGTCTCCACAGAAGTTCAAGGCCATGTAGAAGATTCTAAAGATAAGAAGTCACGAAGCCTATTTTCTAAAATTACTGGAAGTAGACGCATAAAACCCATGTCAGATAATAAAATACCCCGTGCAAACAAGCCTATGGGGTTGAATGCTGTAAGGCAAAAACGTACATTCTCTGAAAGGATGAAAGCCATGGTGAAAAAGTTAAAAATGAAAACTGGAGTCAAACAATTACGACAAAAATCACCTCTTTTAGAAAGCAAAGATTCAGAAGAAAAAAGAAAACCGATTTCTGAAGAAAATGTAAAGGTGGGATAGTTCCATGGTTATTCTTAATATTAATTTGTTATTTAAATTTGATCGATAAGTCATATTATGTTTGTCTTTATTATTTCATAAATTAGTCTTAATTAGGTTTCTAAAGTTGGAGAAATCCTGAGATAAAAATCAATAATGTTATTTTGTTTCCAATAACAATATACTTTTAAATATCCCTTTTTAATCATTATATCAATAGTAACCAATCACTTTGTTAGCCATTAAAGGGCTGAGGAAAAATTCAGTGAATTATAATAAATCAATATTTCTTTTGGCTATTAACAACTAATCTGTTGGTTAAATTGTATGCTTAGCCGAATGGTTGCCTTCAAATATGATGGTTGTTGGTTTGATTAAAAAAAAAGACCCAGATGCCATTTGTCATTGGTCTACAACATTTGTGGGATCAAAGTTGCCAATGAAATTTGGGCATCGAAATTTTACCTTCAGCTATCACATCATCCAAACATATGGCAAGAACGGTTCATGTCAGAATTTCTCGTGTCAGAATTTACACCTTATTAAATGTACAAAGATAAATTAATATTTTGTGGTTTCCAGACGGGTGTTCCTCAGTTGACCAGATCCAAATCTAAGGAAGAAGTATCAGCAAAGTCAGAAAAACCAAAGGCGACTCTTGAAAAGAAACCCTCATCCAATTCAATAACACCACATAGTAACCTAGATAAAAAACAAGGTCACTCAAAAAAGCGCAAAGATGATGATAAACCCACAAACAGTGATGAGTAAGTATCATCATAAGTACTCCAGACATTTCCTCAAACAGAATGGACAAGAAATATGTCATTTGATGACTTACTAATAAACATCAAACGGTTGTATAAGTTTTTACACGATTCCCGCTTATGTTTTGTTTGTAAATGTGGATTTTCGCTACTTTTCATACTACTGTAAATTGTCAGCTTAAACTTCACCCTAGTGTTATTTATAAATTTCCTCCCTTAAGATCAATTGTTTTGTACTTTGCTAATAGACTAGGCGTAAGACTTTCTATCACACACTCATACTAAGTATGAGTGTGTGATAGAAAGTCTATAGTTTTTGTTTTTACCCATAATCATTTACATAACATCAGACTGCTATAAACTATAAGGATAATACCTCTGCACAATTAATTGTGTCTTCTCATGCGTTTAGAAATTTATGACGCAAATACAACCCTAGTCTCTACTAGTGGCTATGCACAGTAGTAAATATAACACTGAACTACTAGAATTTGTTTGTTCTTTTTGCATTCTTGAATCAAATTATAGAAACAGAAACCTTTGTAACTAGTTTTTGTTTGTGTTTTAGAACTCTTGATCAGCTGCCAAATTACAAGTCAGTTGCTGTTGGTGATAAGTTGAAAGTTTACTACGGACCTACCCATGAATCCAAAGTTACTTATGAGGCCAAGGTAAGAAATTTGAGTGTAGTAATTATGTTAACAAATATAAATCATCCATTTTTCCTCCCTGGGGGGGGGGGGGTTGGGGTATTGAGCTACTCCGAGCTACTTCGGCCTGATGGCCTATTGTAGCACCCCAGATCATTCTGACAGCCCTAGGCTTCTGACATTGCCCAGGAGCTGAAAGACACCCAGTTTCCTCATCTCTGTAGGTTTCAAGTGCAGCCTTCCCAGAGATGTCAACCTTTTTTTTTTGGGCCAACGCTGGACAAGCCATAAGTGTTCTGAGGTTTCCACCTCATTTTCGCAGAAACTGCATTGGTCTGTCTATGACATCCCTTTAGTTCTGAGATGTTTCCTAATAGGTCCGTGCCCAGTTAGCATCCCTACTAGTAATCTGATATCCCCCTTCTTATTATACTTATTTTAACACTGCACCGTGGGTCCTCTAGTAGAGAAGTAAACTATTTTAATCAAATAATCAATTCTGAACAAGATGGTGTTTATTCAAAAGCTCATAATAAACAACAACTAAGAATTAGCTGGTTAATACCACCAACATCTCCCTCTTTAACTTTTTAAAGGACGAATAAATCTTCTATTGTGTCTAAATGGTCTTCCTTCAATTGATACAATGTAATTTCTCAACCCATCTAGTGATACTACTACTCCAGGCATTCAAGGTTCTGCTTTAGTCAATATGGTCTAGGTGCTTAAGTCTCATGCAGCAAGGTAAGCCCGCTGCTTATGCTTCAAGAACATTAACTAAGAATGAAGTTGCCTACGCACAAATTGAAAAAGTGTGTCTAGCTATTGTGTTTGGACTCGAATGCTTTGAACAGTATTTGATGGGACATGAAGATGTTATAGTTGAATCTGATCACAAGCCCTTGGAGGCAATATTCAAGAAGCCCTTGATATCAGCTCCTAAGAGACTACTAAGGATGCTTTTAAGACTTCAAAAATACAGCTTTTGTGTATAATACAAGCCAGGAACAGTAATGCATGTCGCAGACTTTCTGTCTAGATCACCTCTAAAATACTAGAGAAACAGTTGACGACCCAATTTTCCAAGCAGAGTTAGATAACAATTTGGACAGAACATAAATATTACCAATGAGAGGATCAAGGAGGTAAAAGAAGAGTTAAGCAATAATGCCCTGTTATGACAACTCTTGTGGACACAGTTAAAAGAGGGTGGCTTGAAAAGCGTACTCATGTTCCTCAAGATCTATAGGAATACTGGAGTATTAGAGATGAACTATCAGCGGTAGATGGAATCGTAATAAAAAGAGACTGTACAGACCAGACTTTAAAACAAGGGTCATTGTGAATCATGCCTTGTTTGTCTCTAATATGTAATTTAACCCTTTCAGACCCAGCACACTCATTTGTGTAGGTAAATTTTTAAGTCCTGACAACCTAACCAACACGATTGTGTAGGTTAGATGTTTATTTGTTTTTTTAAGTTTATGGATCTTTCTGTTGCTCAGACCTGTACGCATCTATTGTGTAGGTTGTATTGTGTAGGTTATGGAGATCAGCTGGGAATTTTTGTTCTGCAGTATGCCTTCATGTCTTATGGTAACACTGATTGTTTTGTTGCAATGTCACGGTTAGATAGGAGAAAGAAGAAACTGTTAAGGTTAAAGACTGTATTATTTATGTTTTTAAACGTATATAATGCTAATTATTGCTGAAACTGAAATGGTTAATATGGTATTATGAAGGTTTCGTCTTTAAAACAAACCTATTCAATAATTTTAGTATTAAAAATCTAGGTTAAAAATAGGGATGGTCAAGTGTCGAAATTTCGGGAAATTTTAAATCTCGTTACACGAGACGAGATTTCTTTTTGGCCGAGATTTTTATCAAGACGAGAATAAAAAAAAAAAAAAAAATAAAAAAAAAAAATTAAAAACGCCTGCAGAAAGTCAATGCAATACCCGCAATACAGGAGCGTGTTGTAGTTGCGTTTCCTTTGCTAAGGCGTTCTTATTTAATTAATTCTTTAAATGTAAATATTACTTTAATTATTTTAATAATATTACTTTAATAACATTTGAGAAGTTTTGTTAAGTGTAAGCAGTGTGAGGAATGTTTTATTACTGTACTATAAAAGTATAAAAAGTCAAAACAAGTAACTATTTTATAAAAATTAATATTGCTTTTATTTTATGATTTATTTTATTTTAGGATAAGTTGAACTCTATCCTAACTGATATCACTATGTTTTCTAATCGTAGGCATTTTTAATAAGTTAGGCGTGATTAATAAAAAAATGTTATGCTGATGTTTTTTAATAAAAGATTGTAAATATTCTTGCCTATTATCATTATTTTTGTATTTAAACAGTCATCTAACAATGTTACAAAATCAGGTGAAAATTTTGAACGTGCATTTCCCGTTGTGTATGAGAAGGGAAATCCCGTCTCGATCTCGTCTCGAAATTTTATGAGAAATAAAAAATCTCGTCTCGTCTCGAACTAAAAATCCAATCTCGTCCATCCCTAGTTAAAAACCAACATTTATTCAAAATTTGCTCAGGACTGAGCGGTCAAGATGACTAAAATTCCCGGGTCTGAAAGGGATAGAAAAGAATTTTGGGGCAGTAGCTCAAGCTCAAGTGCCAAATCTGTTTTTAAGGTCCAAAAAGAGATTATAAATATTATGACTTTTTCAAAACCCATACGGTCATGTACGTTATTATTTAAATAATTAACAATATTAACTCTACCTTCAACATATACAAACATTGATGTTTATAAAAAGAAACCTAACCCTTCCCGAGCATCTGATTCAGGGTGAAGCCCTACTCACTACGCGATCAATAATTTGGTTGGGTAAACAAAATTTATTTTTAAATTTTGTTATTTTTCCACTTCTATTGAATGGTTAAAGTTGATTATAGACACCTTTTTATTAGTTTTTTGATCGTATATATACGTCCAACGCTCTCTAAGGAATGCATTGATTCCTACGCCTAACGCTTGTAAATATTCTTTAGGGAAAACGTTAATTTTTAATAAACTGTTAAAAAGGTTAATTAAATTTAAAAATCATGATAAGAACAGTATGACTTCTTTGTTATTGCCAAAAGACAAAACACACATATCTAGATAGGTACAATAAAACATTGATTTGAATCATTCAATTTGAACATCATTTTTATCACCACAACACATTCTAATACACTGAATATATTTCACAAAACTTATCTCTCTAGATTTACTCCACTCAAGACTTCATGAACAGTTAATCAGACTGTCTTCGCGCGTGAAACAATAACATGAGAATGACTCAACTACCGGCTTTGTAAACAACAGATTTTATGAGATCAGTGATGCCAACCCACCAATCAAAGCAAACCATCTTTATTTGGACACAAATTGTATAGTGAAAAGTACAGTAGTGTATAGGCTGCGTCAACAATATAATACAACTTTAGACTAATCTAAGGATGAGGCAAAATAAACTTCTATTTTATAAAAACAATTTTTAGTAGAATACTCTTGATGGCTCCTTTAAAAACATTTAATGGTAACTCTTTAACCCTAACTGGTAACTTGTACAATTTGGTAGCAGAATATTTAAAGCTAGCTTGAGTGGTGGCATTAGGCACTGATCTATTCTTATATTATTAGAATTTCTTATGGCGTAGTTGTGCACATCCTTATTACAAAGTAAAAGATATAAATACAGTCTATTTAAGGGCATCACAGACAAGTCCTTCAGACATTTAAGACTAAATAAAAAAGAAGTTATTGCAACAATAATGTTAATTAATGGCCTAAGGTAACAGTAGACGGCCAAGAAACAACTTCAAAATACCTAAACAACATTTACATTTATTTACGTATATATGCGTCGTATGTTGTAGCTTGTGACCTTCAGTTTGAGTTGCGTGTACATGGCAAATGCACGCAACTGAATAGCATCGTTGGTGTATAAATACGGCTAACGCACGGGAAGGGCTAATATTTTTCATGAATGACAATTTTAACCATAGCTACCTAATCAGAAGCCGCAATATGTTTTATCGGCCCATCCACAGATAGACACTTTTTGAAACCTTACCCCTTACCCCCTCCCGCTTACCTTTTTGTTTACATGGGAAACAAGTTTTTATAATAAATTGCCAGCGCATATTAAATGTATCAATTCAACAGAGTCATTAAAAAAAGTAGGGATGGTCAAGTCTCGAAATTTCGGGAAATTTTCGGGAAATTTTAAATCTCGTTACACCAGACGAGATTTCTTTTTGGCCGAGATTTTTATCGAGACGAGAATTAAAAAAAAAAAAAAAAAAAAAAAATTAAAAACAGAAAGTCAATGCAATAACCGCAATACAGGAGCGTGTTGTAGTTGCGTTTCCTTTGCGAAGGCGTTCTTATTTAATTAATTCTTTAAATGTAAATATTACTTTAATTATTTTAATAATATTACTTTAATAACATTTGAGAAGTTTTGTTAAGTGTAAGCATTGTGAGGAATGTTTTATTACTATAAAAAGTCAAAACAAGTAACTATTTTATAAAAAATAATATTGCTTTTATTTTATGATTTATTTTATTTTAGGATAAGTTGAACTCTATCCTAACTGATATCACTATGTTTCCTAATCGTAGTAATTTTTAATAAGTTAGGCGTGATTAATAAAAAAATGTTATGCTGATGTTTTTTAATAAAAGATTGTAAATATTCTTGCCTATTATCATTATTTTTGTATTTAAACAGTCATCTAACAATGTTACAAAATCAGGTAAAAATTTTGAACGTGCATTTCCCGTTGTGTATGAGAAGGGAAATCCCGTCTCGATCTCGTCTCGAAATTTTATGAGAAATAAAAAATCTCGTCTCGTCTCGTCTCGAACTAAAAATCCAATCTCGTCCATCCCTAAAAAAAAGGGATGTCTATGTAGCTTATAGCCTATATAAGATTATTATAGTGTACAAGCTTTCCTAAATGGTAATTTTTGACCTATTTAAAATTCTTTTGTAAACCTTGTTTTACCTAGTTTTAAGATGTTTTGTAATCGAATTTTACCATTTCACCTGTCACTTGTAAACACGAGTGGTGACTTGTATGGTGGCTATTGTCTTAACGTTTATGAGAAAATACCTAAATCATTGACTTGACCCGAGTTTGTGGGGGGTATATAACCATTTAATATAAATTATCATTTATATTAATTTATCATTTATATGATAAATAAATTAATTATCGATATTATAATTTATATTAAAATATTAACTTTGACCAGGAATACCAGGTTTTGCTGTTGGTAAAACAGGGGAAAAATGTGTGAATTTTTTTCAGGAGTTCTGTGACTACCCTGTAGTCATAAAAGATGAGTGTTTCTAACAGTGTTGGGTTGTAGGTGCTTAACCTTAAAGAAGAGGACCACGAGACACTTTACCTGGTACACTACACAGGGTGGAACACCAGGTATGATGAGTGGATCAAGCGAGGTAGGATAGCAGACAACCTGAGCTGGTCTCCAGGACGGGCCAAGCGCACACGTCATCACCAGACCCAGGTACTGTCTCAATATTGTGATCCTTATGGAACAAGCCGAAGCCAATTATATTTTTAGTTCTGTCCAGTGCACTGCTGAGGTCGGGTTTTGTTTACAATTAGTTTCTTGTTATTTCAGTCATTTAAAACCTCGTTTAGCCAAATAAAACTATCTAATCATAAACAATAACTGGTCTCCTCCTAGTTAAATAACTAAACATTATAGCACAAATCATGAAAATAACCCTAAAATATTAGAAAAAAATTCCTTCTTCACTTGTGATCAGTGTCTACGTACATGAACTAGACACAAAAAACAAGCTTCAACAATTACAATGGCATGAAAAGTCTACTCGTGTTGCTTAGTCTATGGTGCTACCTGTGAAGTTTGTTGACATTGTCATATTATTAGTCTTTGTATGTTTTTAATTTTGTTTTAAGGAAATTTTCAACCCTGTGTTGACCTATGGTAAAAAATTGAAATTTAAAGCTAAAATATTAGATTAGAGTAGACTGGTGTTTTATCTAATGAATTTGTCCTAGAAATTTCAGAAAAGAAAATCGCTACTAGAATTAACTAGCAGTATAGTAGGCCCTACACTAATAGTATATTTAATGTGTCATCAGTTTAAATTTTGTTAAACAGCGCAATTATGTAGATTTTTTTCTCACCTTTTATGTATGCAGTACGAATTGAGTATGGTTTCTTTTTTGTTTTTACTGGTGTCTTACAGTTAATCCTTGCAATACAAGACAAATTATTTTAAACTAAGTTTTATTCGGTTTTTTAAAATCTTGTTTTAAAAAGAGGCTCTGGGATTCATATAAGTGTACACTCATGATAACATAGATAATTCTTTATTGCACTCTAAATGGGGAAATGAATAGTTTATAAAAAAAAACTCTGCTGGTTTTGATAGGACATTTAAAATAACTTTATAGCTAGTAGAATCATGGCCAATTAGAAAAGCCCATCTGAACTGAAATTTCAAATATCTGCGTAACACTATATCACTATTATTTACCTGAAAGCACAGGTAAATAATAGTGGTTCACTAATGGCTCACTATTATTTACCATTGTATTAACTTTAAGCGATAAGAACGACTATTAATGAGTTAATATTAAAACAGACTCTTTGATACAAGTAAGTTTATAAGTTATGCCTTATTTGAACATGTATTGAATATTCTATTGCAAATACTTGTTAAAAATAAATTGTTATTTAACTATTCTAGAAAGACTTGAAACTCTATTGCAGTGAGTGTATTCAATATTACAATCATGTATGTTTATGTGTTAAACAAATAGCACTACTCGTTAAGATAACACTAATAACTAACTGACAATGAAAACATCACCCATTTATTTCTGATTGAGCTACTTAGTAAACTTCTGAAATGTTTTATTTTTTTTTACAAATGCACCTGTTTTAAATAAAGTAAATACTTTTTTGAATTTATATAACCAAATCCCTTTGAAAATAATCAAAACTTTTTTTAGCTTCGTTACGCATTAAACATAATCTCACCTTAAAAATAAAGTTAGTTATAATACATTAAAAACTTAAAATTCTTGTTGGAGTATTTAAAAAATATATTAGTCGAATTTATATGCTTATTTATGTATTATTTTAACCAAACCTCATAATATAATTTTGTCTATTGGAAATAACTACCTTTCCCATCTTAAACTATATTTACAAACATTTTAATTATAAAATATTACTATTAAAGGCAATACAACTATTTTTCTGTGACTATAATGTTGTTGTGTTCAGCAGTCTCAGTCCCAAAGCCGTGTGATGAAGAGGTCCAAGAGTGGAGGTGGTGGGGAGGGGAGTGGAGGGGGCGGATGTGGTCGCTCTACCACACCCTCGTCTGTCACGTCATCGTCCAGTCGCACAAAGAGTCCTGCAGTCAGCGGTGCACCTCGCACTGCCAGGTCTCGGGGCCGTTCCCGCCGCGCCTCTGGACATACGCATACAGGTAACAAAGACACTGCTGTTTGATTAGTAATAGGTTGTTGGACCAAAATATAGAATAATTTTGGTTTGATATTTAGTATTGAAAATTGTTCTTGCTTTTATATAGAAAGATACATTTTAGAATTCAATTTTTTTTTTTATTTTTTTTTATATTTACACTTTTATTAGTTGATATAGACTGTAGGCTACAAGAAATATTTTTTGTTACAGATTTGTCAGAATCTGAGGGAGATGATGACTATGAAAGTGATGATCTAGATGTTTCTAGAGGTCCAGGGAGTAAAGATTTGGATAGTGATGAAAAAGAATCAAAGGACACCAAAGAAATGTTGTTAGAGAAGATTAGAAGTCGCAGCACGTACAGGCGAAGGTTGGAAAGCGGCTGCGAGAGTGAAGATCCTAGTAGGGATCCTACTGATGCAGACAACAAATCGAAGAAATGCAAGGTAGAAAGTGAAGAAGAAGGGCAGTTTGAAAGGACCAGAAGCAGGAGTGAAAAGCGAAAATCTGAAGAAGTATCAAAAGTCAACGTTACGTCCGAGGATATTAAAAAGGAAGGCACAGATGGATACAAAAGTGATCGATTGAGGAGTAAAAGAAAAGCTGTTGAAGAAAAAACTGATAATACTGATGAAAAAGACACAATACCCGAGAAAGAATTTAAAGCTGAACCAAAGGTTGAAGACACTAAGCCCCTGAAAGTTACTGAAGAAAAACACAATAGAGACTCCAAACAATTGATCTTGGAATCAGAAAAAATAGATTCTGAAACACAAGAAACGGATAATAAGAAAAGGCTTAAAAGAAAAGTGGATGACTTACCATTTGATGAAGACTGTAAAGAACAATCAACAAATGAAAGGAGAAGAAGTAGGCGAGTCACGCCTAGAAAAGAAGATCTAAAATTCCATTCTAAAAGTGAGGAAGAACAATCAAGAGGAAGGGAATTTGACTTAAATCAAATAAGGTCAGAGTTGAAAGGTATTAATCCTAGTGGTAAAGTTCCCATTGAAGCTGTCTCAATGGTTGAAAAAGAAAACGAAAATGATGATAAAGTAAGTGTTGAAAGTTGTAATACAGAAGAAGAAGAGACTAAAACTATAAGTTCAGAACAAAAACGTACAATACCTGAAGATATATATGAGTTTAAAGAACCCGAACCATTTGAGTTTGAAGTTAGATCTAAATGCAGTGAAGATAAAAGCGGGAAGATTCAAAGACGAAGTTTTGGGCGAGTATGTGAGGAACCTAGTTCAGTTACCTTAAGTCCTGTTAGAAAAAAATTAACAAAAATCAAGTCAGAATCACCAAGTTCCTCAGACAGCAAACAAGATATCAAGAAACCTAATCCAAAGTCAGAAGATTCAACAGAAAACCCTGCGGTTGAAAGTGAAAATGTCACGAATGAGTCTTTATTAAAATTGGAAAAAGACAAACCTGTGCCACCTTTAAGCCCGGCTGAAAACCCCAACGAAGAAAGTGATTATGATTCAGAAACTGAAGCATCTGAAAATAAAACAAAAACAAACAAAGGTGATGATGTGATGCAATCTCTTAGTTTGTTCGATGACTTGCCTGAGGAGAGAGAGGGAGGAGGTGTAGACGAAGATAGTGAGGATCGACTGGTCATTTCAGAACCAGAAACTGAATCAGAGTCACAGGGGCCTCTCTTTTCACATCAACAGAGGGATCATGAAGACTTTTTCCCAACCTCAATCACTCAATCTTCTTCGGTAGAAAATTCTCAGAATAAATCTCCCTTTTCTGGATTTAACGAAGGTTCGAAGGACGGTAATGAAAGTAAAGATGGTAGTATAAAAACTCCAAAGGAAGACAAAGATGAAGAGGAAGATCCCATAATGAGTGCTATCCAGAGGGTTCAGAGGGCATTTTCACAATCTCCTGGTGATGATGACAGTAATGACATTGATTTACTATCTGAACTACCTGATCCAACACATAGGAAAGACAAAGACTCTATATCATCTATAAAAGAAGATGAAAATTCAAGAAGTAGTAAAGAAAGCAATGATTCTCAGAATGGAGATAATATTGAGGATCAAATGTCACAGTCAAATGAGGATAGTGATGATAATATCAATGATCCAATCAAAATTGACAACTCAAAAGTGGTTGAAGAAATAAATATAGAGAGCAGTGATAGTGAGGCTAGTGTATCTAGTGTTAGAGATGAAACTACCAATGTCCCAAGTGAAATGGAAAGAACAGAAATTTCATCAACTATTTTAAAAGATGACACTGATAAAGCTGATGAATCTCAAGACACAAGTGTTGCTGATGAAGAGGAAAAGGATTCTAAATATGCGGAGTCAGAAGAAGAAAGTGACCAGATGCCTCAAGACAATAATGCCAATGAAGAGAAAGAGAGCGATGACAACTGTTTAGTCAAAGAAGATTTAACTGAAGATACTCAAAGTGAAGCAGCAGAAAATACCAATGATGCTAAGGTAAAATTTTGCATTTATTTAACTTTATTATCTTTAAAATATATTCAATGTTTTTGTTTTGAAATTGTGGTTTGGTTACTATAAATTAAACAAATTATTATAACCATTTAACATAACAACAAACAAAATGCCTGTTGTGGTAAACTTGCAGGCCTACGAACTTGGTAAAACAATTGACAACCAATAAACAGACTCATCTTTGATGATATAGTGTTCACGTCAGTAAAATAATCTTGTCACCTTAATGCAGGGGATCAGTTTTTGATGTTCTAAACTATCGCAATTTAATTAGTAGGTTTCAATTTCTGAACATTTCTTAATTGGTTGATGTATGTAAATCCAATAATACAAACCTTAAAAGAAGCGACATGTTTATGGAAAATAGTCTGACTCGAATTTCCGCTGAAATGAGCTTCGTGCGGCCGCCACTAGGATGCGCTCACGCTACTCTATCTATCTCTTTCTTTAAGCCAATTCTTTGTCTCACACTTTCTCACTCAGTCATTTGACTTGGCCGCGTAGGTTGACCCTTGTATGTTGTCACGGCAACCATGTGTCGTCATAGCGACTAGCCCATCAAGCACTCGCACTGCGTTGTATATTACGATACGAATAGCTGTGTTAGAAAGACAACGCGATAGGTGGTAGTTTGTCTCTTTCCTATCTCCTCAAAATTACGATCGATAATCATTGCGTCTTGACTGAGCTGAGGTTCGTGCTTATCAAACCTCGAATGCATGAACAACGTAGAATTGTGATAACAATGTTTTCAATTACAACCCAAATTAAGTGTTTTTTTTAGTTTTGACTTAGTATTAAAAGCTCGGCTCGAACTTCGAGCTTTTTCAAAATGCCTCAAGCCGAGCCGAATAATGAAAAGCTCGACCAAAAAGCTTGAAGATTCGAGTACTCGCACACCCCTACTGCAAAGGTTGTCATTCTTTTCCCTCATGCAGCATGCATGCTATATACAAAAACGGCCCTTACTTAAAAAAACAACCCTTGTATTTTCAGTTTTACAGTTCTCAATTTATTATTGTCAGATATTATTTAATGAACTTATTAGACAGTGAATATTCAAAAAGCTAAAACTAAAAATTGAGCTTTGCCCATCGGTTCTTGGTGCTTTTACATATGTTTTTTTCTGTTGTATAGGAAGAAGTTACAGAAGAGCTGACCCAAGTAGACTTAAACGAAGAAGTAATCCTAGAGGCTGAAGTAACGAAGAAAGATGCAGATTCAGAAAATGAAGAAGATGGAAATAATGATGAGGAAGAGGAGTTTGATGAAAATGTTGAAGAGGTTGTCGAAGAACTAAATGATCAAGACACCAAAGAATCTGAGGTGAAAGCGGAAATCGAAGAACCTGAAAGTAACCTGGAGAGTTTGCTCTGTGAGGAAACAATCCCTGGAAGTCCTGCTCCATCTTGTACAGTAGCTGCAGAAAACCCTACCTCAACATCACCTGAGCTGCCGTTCGCTAGTGCTGCAGTTGTCTACAAGCCACCCCCTGCTGCAGCAATACTGCCTCCGCCGCCACCACCACCCACCCCTCCCACTACACCAGAGAGTAGTCTCTCGCCCATATCCAACTCTCCCGTAGGGTAAGATATCCCATTTTGACATTTATCACTTAAAACTATCATTATAATTTGGCACTGTATAAATATAAATACTGAATTGAAATCCACAAGCAGCGATCGCAAAAGACGATCATGATATCTACTTACCCAGGGGAGATATTCAGGATATAGTGGTGATTGCGGAAGATGATGGTGATGATTGTATGACCGGGAGAGATGTTCAATAATTTGTTCAATCCTATGTTTTTTCCTTCGTGATGGCATTATTAATATTATTCTTAGGTTGTCGGTTACTCATCACTAAAATAAATTAATCACAATTTACTAAAAAATGTCGAGATGTTCAATATTCATCCATGGTTGCGGAAAATTATGATAATGTTTCTGTGACCAAGGAATGCCGGGAACACACTCACTTTACTGCTGAAGATTTTTGTCATACATTTCGGTATATGAGGCAGGCTATACTAGTGAAAAAATGCCCGTGAACATGTTACCTAGGAACATGAAAACCTACCTAGTTTTTCTTACAAGGTAAGGAGATTCGTCGCATGTGTATTCTCCACTAACATGTTACACGGCGACGCTCGTGAAACTGATACTGTAGCGGGGCATTTCGACTGATGAGAGTGAATACACTTGCTTACGATGTAAGATTTTTTTCACAAGTAGGCCTATTTACTAGTTTCAAAATCGATTTAGAGTTTTCACTTCAGTTAGTATTGTCGTGTTAGAGTGTTTTGTGAACGTGTAGTTATTGTTTATTTGACAACACATGTGTTATTATAAGCTGTCATTCTAAAAAATTAAAGAACTTTTCTTAATCCTGTCTTAAGTCAATATACATTTTCAAAAGCATCATAATGCAGACATTTTTCCACTAATGGATGTTACCAACACCTAAGTTTCTGCTTGTTTTGTGTCTCACCTCCATCATCGCGCACCAACAACTAAATTTTTTATGTAATGAGTGTGGGGGGACGTGCATATCTTGGACTCAGATAGTGTGGATTGCTTCACCTTACCTTGTAAGCTGAGCGCTGGCCCAAAAAACTTATCTCAAAGGTAAGGCGAGTGTGGCATGGTCAAACCGTTCCACATGCATTGCCTGTGAAAATCCTATAAACTCCGTTGACTTACCTTGTAAGTTGGCAAATTACTAGTGTTTTCCTGACCGAAGATATTTAGGATCTTGCACCGATCGTGCATGATGATGTAGATGTCTCTGCATCGCAGGAGATGACCTAAATTTTACCTCGAGTTCTGCTTGATTTAAAATCTCAGACTCTCACACCTTTTGTTACAATAATATTTTCTCATGGACATTTTGTTTGTAAAATCTTTATTTACGTTTTATTTGTTTTTAATGTGTTGAGAAGGATATGAATTGGCTAGTTGAATTTGTTTTGCTGCTTGATTTTTTTATTCACTTCAAAAAATCCTTATTACCCCAAAATTACTCTTTGTAAGGACATAAGACTGGGATTGGTGTAGTATATCCAATCCATATGGAACATTTTGGTAACATTTTTAAAAAGTAGTATTGGTATTGGTATCGAAAAATTTATAAATGTTGGTATTGACACATCCCTAGAATAAAATGTGTACTGTTCATTTTGTAGGGAAAGAAGTGGTTCATCTCCTACACCTGAAAATGGAAGCATAAAGTCTAATCGAGATTCTTCTGAGGTGGATCTAGAAAAATTTGCGAGTGTCACAAAAACTGAAGCCTATGAAGAAGGAGGTAATGTGACCATTGTTTGATTTCTTTCTACAAATAATCTCAACAATAGATTTTTCATTGTTTGTGCTTCTTGTTTATTGGGAAAGAAGTTTATTCACTTAAAATTTCAATTGTATCTACATTACAGTTGGCTGTAGTTGATGGCCTGTTTCAATTGTACAAGGATTCAAGGTACATGTTATGCTCCCAAGAGATTCTTTAAACAAACATTTCAAAATATAGATAAACAAACTGATTGCAGATATAAAGGTGTTTGTTAATAATGTCAATTGTTATTTATTTATTATTCTATTAAGTAAACAATAAATTAAATAGAATGTATATTTATAGTTAGTAGGTAGGTCATACATTCAATCTACATAATTATATGAAAAGAAACTCAAATAAACCTTAGAATTCCCACATGCCTCTGTCTTGGTCTGATATAGATGATTGAAATAGATTTAACATCCTCACACATTAAAAAAACAAAAAAAGTAGAAAATAATTTATAAATAAAAAACTTTGTTTAAAACAAAACGTTTTTAAACGCACTAAAAAGTAGAAAATAATTTATAAATATGCGGAGAGTATAAATACTTGTAAGATTTAAAACCAAAAACGTGGGGTGCATGCAATTGATAGTAATTCATTAGTTCAATAGGTGAAGGTAATTGTAAATTATCTATTGCATGCACCCCACGTTTTTCGTTTTAAATCTTACAAGTATTTATACTCTCCGCATATTTATAAATTATTTTCTACTTTTTAGTGTGTTTAAAAACGTTTTGTTTTAAAAAAAGTTTTTTATTTATAAATTATTCACATTAGGCTTAAAAAAAAAACTAAACTAGATTCAAATGTTGTTTAGGAACCCATGGAACAGCTGGTTCTTCCAACTCCTCCAATAAGAAAAGTGGTGCAGTAGAAGAAAATGAATCTCAAGTAGTTAAAAAACGAAGACGAAGTGTAAAACGAACAGAAGAAAACCCAAAACGACCTAAACTATCTCACCGTAGTCCCAGACACAATAATGGTAAATTTAGTACTTTAAATTTGAACTGTATTATAAACTAAGATGCACTTTAATATCATGTATGATGCTTGAAACCTATAAATATGTAGGCTATAGGACCATGACTACTAGATTATGGAGGTTTGTGGATTACTTGAGCAGTTATTATAAATATTTTTCACATGTTTATAACATTAGGTTGAATTTGAATTGCTTGGAATGGGTTAAACTAACTTTAAGTTTTATTAACGGCGACAAATTGTCAACTACAAACTACAGTTTACTTAATAACAAAGTTTATTGAACAGTTAAGAAAAAAGAATGTTTACCAAAGGAGAAATTGACTCTACACATGGAGACTAGATCTTTTACATACTTACAGCTATAATTCTTGTATGAAAAGTTCTTGTTAAAAAATCTCAGTTGATCTCAGACATGCACTGTGGTTGCGATACTCCCTGGTGTGGATTAACTAATGAAAACTAATGAGTACTAGGACTATCCGCAGTACTATCCTGATAATTAGACAAATTCGTTAATTACCTGGCAAAATGTGGTTCGGATCGGATTCCACTATAAACTGTAGGTCCCTTAGTTGCCATTGGATGTATGGGCTATTAATTAACAGTCCTGTCCAAAGAACATGTGGGCCTTAAAGTCAGTATCAAGACTACAAGATCCACTCATCCTACACTTATCTCCATTCATACTTGGCTTAAAATACCTACTTTCGAATGGTCGCCGTTTCAAGTAAAGTATTTATGTATTTTAACACTAAGGCACAACATGGCTGAAAATGTATTTCCTTGTTCACCTTAGTAGGTCTACCAAAAATCAGGGTGGCCACAACTGGGAATTCTGGGAAAACCGGGTAATTGTGCTTTTATTTTGAAACTCCACCAGAAAAAAACCTGATTTTAGTCTGTGGCCATAGCAAAATTGAGAAAATCAAGGCATCACCTTCCACGGTAACAGCAAAATCAAGAACATCTTCGGCAGTCTCAGTGAAATTGTATAGGCTACATGTTCTGCAGTCACAATAAATTCTAGAAAATCTTCCTTGGTCTCAGTGAAAAGTGAACATCTTCCACATTCATGGCAAAATGGTAAATGTCTTCCACAGACTCGTCAAAATCATGACCATCCTCCCAGGCTACGGCAAAATCATGAACATCTTCTGAGATTAAGATAAAATCGTGGACATTTTCGATGGGCTATTGTTTTTCCAAAATTGTAATTTTTCAATCCTCTATCTTCACAAACACTTTCCATGGTTGTGGAAATATGCGCTCAGCTCAACTCAACCTTAGCTTGGCCCCATGATCAGTTTCGGTCCAAACAGAACCCTCATGCCAACTGTTGGCTAGACCCGTTCTGAAAATATCAGGGAACTACAGACCCCCAAGTAAGAAGGTGCACTTGGTGACTGGGAATCACAAATTTTTCCAGGAGTTCTGTAGCCACTCATCTAAAACTTTAAATAAATTATTTGTTACTGAAAGTATAAGCCTACGATTCATTTACATAGTAAAACTGCACAATGGTTAACATTTATTAAACTCATCTTATAAAAAGATAGGGCATTTGCCAGGAATTATTAAGGAAATTGACAGGAAAGCAGGCTTACCTTTAAATTTAAATTTAAAGGTAAGCCTGCTTTCCTGTCAATTTCCTTAATAATTTATTAAACTCAAGCTTTCAATGGAATTATGTCTATCGTGTAAATCTTATGATTTCAGCAGCTAGTGAAAGTGATGATGATACCTCAGAGAACTCACTGGATCTTGTTTCTTTGAATTCACGTTCTCCTAGGCCATCAAAATACAACTTCTTTGTTCAGTTGGGTGAGTTTGTTATAGTTAACTAACGCTTAAATGTAAAAGCAGCAATCATTTTGTTTTTGTATTAACTATGAAAAAATTGAAATATGATAAGACAATATAGATATTTGGAAAAGGGCCCAAATGTATTTTTTTGTTGGTTTTTAGGGGTGTGTGATGCATCAAAAATGCATTGAAATTCCGATTCAATTTGATTCAATGCATCAAATTGCAATTCCATTCAGTTGTGGTCAAAATACTATTTGATTCATGAGGGAGTCTGTATCCATATAGGAAAAACGTCTGCAGAAAGTCAATGCAATACCTGCAATTCAGGAGCGCGTTGTTGTTGCGTTTCCTTTTCCAAGGCGTTCTTATTTAATTAATTCTTTACATGTAAATATTGCTTTAATTTGTTTGATAATTTTTTGATTTGACATTGCAAATGATGAGAGGTTTTGTTAAGTGTAAGCAGTGTGAGACATGTCTTACTACTGTAAACATAGCCAAAACAAGTGACTCCATAATCATTAAAAAAATAACACAACTCTGAAAAATTGTTAGGCCCTACTTGATACTTAACTAGTAAGATTGTTGTTTTAGACTGATAAATTTGGCATTTTTGTAGGTCTGAAGCTATGTATACTTTTTAGTTTGTAGGTATAATTCTGTCCTCTCATTTTATTAATGTAAACCAATTAAAAGTTTCAGTATAAATCTTACAAATGTTTTTATTTGTTTACACCAGAAAGATATATTTATTTGTAAAATCAATATTATAAAGTAGGTAACATGATTAACAATATGATTCTGCAAGTAAAAATCATGAAATAGGCAAGTAAAGCAGCTCACTGACATTTCCAGCAATTCAGGTTCTTTTAATTTATGAATGAAAATAAATATTTTTTCACCTAAAATTAATTTCATGTATGAATAGGCCTAATACCACATCAACAAAAACTTGTATTACACAAATGTGTACCTCGTTAAGGCTAAAAAATACAGTTTTTAATAAAATGTATACTGTGCAATCAAAACTGAAAGATAATGGACTCCTGATCATAATTTTACAAATGTGTGACTAATACACTTCAAACCTAAAAAACATTTCTTTATAAATGACAAACGCTAAAATAAATTAAACTCCTGACACCGACATAATAAAACAAATATAAGAACAATTCAATCATTTAGAGGCTACAGTTTAGTGTTTATATGTGTTTATGGAAATAAAAATGTATTGTACATAAGGGATTGTATCAGTAGTCAGTCAGTTGTTGGCAGTTTTATCTATTTTTTGAAAGTCCCTACAAAGTGTAATGTGGGTGCAGATCCCGAGTTGGACGGGTCACAGCGCATTGCAGTCCTACAACAGAAGTTGGCCGAGTTACGCAAGACGTACATGAGTGTCAAGGCAGAGCTGGCCTGCATTGACCGGAGACGCAAGAAATTACGACGGAGAGAGCGAGAGGCTTCCAGTAAGTGATTCTGTATTCTAAAGATTTTCTTTTACAATGGCAAGCCAGTGGTGAAAACAACATTAAGATAGGGCAAGAGGTTGGTCTTAAACCAGCATTTTCGGTCATCAGCCTAACCCTATGAAGTATTATTTAATTTAAAGTTACACCATAGCTAATGCCACCATTGGCTGCATTAGGAAAACTCAAATAGGGACATTAGCGCTCGCAGGTGTGGTTATGAATTACATGAATCAAGTCATAAATAAAACTAAGCTAAGAAATTTGTTTATATAAAACATATAACCTGTGAGTTGCATGATTGCTCTCTTTAAGGTAAAAATGGGGTTCGGATTCCACTTAGGTCCCTTTGTTACCATTGGCTGTATGGTCTATTTATTATAACAGCTGTATCTAAGGAACATGTCGGCCTTAGTCACTAACAAGACTGCAAGATCGCGCCACATCCTACACTCATTTCCATTCATACTTCTCTTAAAATACCTACAATCGTATGGTCACCATTTCATAAGAAAGTATTTAAGTATTAAGCTGCCATGTTCGACAATTGAGTCATTTATTTATTTGGGTTGAATAGCAAATCCCAGTTTCAGTTTTAAATATTTTGGGTTCACATTGAAAATTTATGGTTGGAACCCTGACCATGCAAGTGCTCACAATGTCCCCATGCTGTTTTCTATGCTTGGCAGATCAGTCACAAATACTTTCCTAGTTATTATAATAATAATAAATTACAGTTCTTTTTCACTAAAAAAATATCATAGTAGAAATTGTCAGTTACCATGAAAAATGTACTCCTTACAACTTGTTCAAGCATTTGTTCTAGTGAGTGTAATGTTGGAATATGTATTTTTTGTTTATCATTTCCAGTGTTTGGTTTATTCTGGTATATACCAGTACCTATGTATGAATAGTCTGACATCCTCTTATGTAGAACTTTCTCAGATCCGATGTCAATGTGTGTTTTGTTGTTGCAGTCAAAACCACCAGTTCGAAGCCTGAAGTAACCTGCTCGTGATGGCAGCTCACAGCTCTGTAACTCTTAAGACTTAACTAGAGTAGAACAGTATTTAAGATAGGAACAACATATTTTTCCAGTCATTTTGTTTTATATTACAGATCAAAGTAATATATTTATACAAGAAGTTAATTAGACAGCAATATTAGAATTAATATTCCTAAGGAATACTGTCGACTATTTAGAAGCATTTTAAATGTAAGAAAGACGAATTGTTTTATTGTAAAGAAATTTTTAATTTTATACATATGTGACATATTTTTGATTATTTATGTAAATATTGATTATTTTTCTTTGTTGTTTTTAATCAATTTTGATCGTTTAGTTGTTGAAACCCACTGACAACCCATTACTTGCGACATTAATTTATCATTGTTTTAGGATCAGCTGGTCTGATTATCAAAGCTATGCTTCTCTCATCACTATTTATTTTATTGAGCACCAGGTGTGTCTGTGTTATAGTATTAATAGTTTATTTTGGCAACTGGCCGGTTTATTGGTGAAATTGCGGGACTTGGTCCAGTTTCAATGGGAAAGTGTTATGTGATAATGTTGCCAGAGGTTGTTTAAACACACCTAAAGATGTAGGTCCCTTGAGCAAAGATCTCTATCAAAAATAGCTATAAGATAATTTTTTATTTGTGTAATTTATTGGCCGCATGCATCGTTTATATTTTAAGAAATATATTCATTAGGACCAGTATTTTAATGAGGTTTAGGTTCTGTTATAACATGTCTGTTTGATAAAAAATATATTAGCAGGATTTTAAAAATGTTAACTGAAACTTGTAGGTTATGTTGCGTGTTAGTAGGCATGTTTATAATTTTGTTTTGATAAGGTTATGATTTGTATTATCTACTTTACTAACTGTAACATACTTGTACAAACACTTTATTTACTCTTATTCTTACTTGAAGCACAATACTGTATATATATTATAATAAAACATTGTAAAAAAAGTGGAATACAATTTTGAGCTTTATCAACATAGATATTAAACTGTATAAGGGTAAAATTTTTTTTTTGAAAAGCTAGGCTTTTTCAAAAATAAAATGGTATTAGGTTCCAGAGACTCATTTAAAACTTGAGTTGTCAATGGGTTCATATGAATCAATGTCTTCTCACATATGGTAGGCCTAGATAATATGATTGTGAAATTTATTTCTTATTCTATGTGTACAAATACAACACTTCACCACGATAATTCTTGGATAGCCTGTACTGAAGAATATAGTAATTTATTTTATATTTGCATACATTTGTAAGCAAATTTAAAGCTAATGTATGTCTACCCTTCCAAAGTCAGCTTCCCTTATCCCTGAGGATATGTACTTACAATAATTTAACCTTTATGCGTTTTACATTGTCAGGGATTAAACCAGTCACTCTCACACTGGAGTCCAATATGTTAACCACTAGACTAGCATGAAGCCCCTACCAGATACAGTAGAACTCCAATTATCTAAACTCAAGACTATCTGAATTGCTTACAGAAAGAGTTTTAAAGCACTATAACTACAGTAATAAATAAGAAGAATCTTTATTAAAGAAGTCAGTCATGACCACGGCAAAATCCTGCAGACAACTTCTGAGGCCGCGATAATAAAAGCTTAGCACAACAAACCCCATTTCCCATCAAATACCCCTAATTTCGGTGAAATTCAGTTATTTAAATTTTTATCATCAGATCAAATCGAATGGATTTTTTTTTCGTTTTGTCGGGTGTCGGTTGATTTGGAGAGTCGTGGAGTTCTACTGTAGTCTCTATGAGAAAGTCAATTCCTCACTTGTTTCAACCAAATTCATCAAATTATTTTTGTAATCATTTACATTTGTAACTATCTTTTTATGTATCACAATTTTGTGCAAAAAAATTAACATTATTTTAATTTTGATGCGGTGCATTGTAAATTATTATTACTTACTTTATTTGAAAATCATTTTATGTTTTTTTATGTAAATAAATTTGTTACTCTGATGATATTGTATTTTTTCTAACCTAACACAACATGCCACTGTATTTAACTAGCTGCACCAGTGTAGCACAATGTGCCTCATTAATTTTACATAATACAGTGTGAAAATTAAGTATTGAAACAAATCTGTATTTTTTAAACCAAAATAGATAGAAATATTTTGTTTGTGGCATTGATTCTTAACAAAGGTTCCGCAATTTTTTACATAAAAAAATGTTTCACCCCCTTAACAGGGTAGGGGGTAAGGGGTGACTTATTTTTTTCTAATAGCAACCCTAATGATTGACCCCTCATTTTAAAGGGCTTGTCAAAGGAAACACAATGACGCAAACCCGAAGTGAATATCTCACCCCTAGCCAAAATGGCAGGTATAGGTTGACATTAAATTAAAGGTCTTTACCAGCAGAATATAATGCCAAAAATTTGAGCTCAAACGGATAACTGAGTAAAAAATGGCAGCCGTTCAAAGATTTCTTGAATCTGCCATTTTGAATCTTTGAACGACTGCCATTTTTACTCAGTCGTTATTTTGAGATTGAATTTATAGCATTGTAATCTACTAATGAAGACCTTTAATTTGATATGCATATCGACTTATGCTTACGTTAACGATTTTCTTCCGATTCCTAGGGCTGTGTGGGTGGAGGAGTAAGTGTATAATGGCAATGCAAATTAAATGAATCTTTGAACCACTGCCATTGTTGGCTCGGTTGTCCGTTTGAGTTCAAATTTGCTGCATTATATTCTGCTAATAAAGACCTTTAATTTGATGTACATAGGTGCTTCTATGTATTTACATGTATGTATGTATGTATCTATGTATTTATTTCTATATATTTAAAGTAAACCTATGCTTCTATTTAAGATTTCCTTCTGACTCCTTGCGGGATGTCCCCATGATATGACAGAAAATTGATATTTGCTAAAAAAATTAGATTTTTAGGTGTGGCGTTGATGTACCAAATCTTATCGATTTATCTGTTGTCGTTTAGAAAATATTAAACCGGTCCGGGACTTTTGGGACAGTCTGTATATCAGGCCCGCTTTTATAAACGGGCAGACTAGACATATGCCCAGGGTCGCCGGTGGTTTGGGGGCGTCTGCTGGGTGCCCCCGAACCACAGCCCGCCAGCACTAGGAAAAAAGGGGGCCGCTTTTCTTGGGTTTGCCCAGGGCTCCACTGACCCTTAAAGCGGCCCTGATATAAATATATATGAATTTGAACGGATGGTGTTTTTGGCCTCTAGAGACCTCGAAACGAAAAAGTAAATCGGTCCTGATGGGTCAAGGTCTTACCATGAGTACTACGGTAATAGCTTATTCCCTGTATGGGAAATTCACTAAAATGTAGGAAAAAACCAGTAATTTAAGGTGTTTACTGTTTAAAGCTCAAAATGTTTGCAATAACATCTAAAACTAAAATAAAAACATTTTTTTAAATTCAAACTTTTACAACTTGTTTGTACCCTTGGAAATATGTAAATATGTATGTTGGTATATGTAAGTAAAATTTCAACTTATTATATATTTTTATTGAAGGATTACGTATTTACTTTAGTTTTATTAACAATCAAAAATAAACATAATACAACAAGCCTTATCGTTGTTATATTGCAGATGTCCGTGCAACTCGTAAATTGCCTATTTTCATTTTATTATTCAAATCATCGTCGGGGTGGAGGGGGGCGCAAACAGCTCTTGGGCCCACAGCGTATAACATTAACCGCGGGCCTGTTAAGACTATTTCTCCTTTTGAACTTACCACTGATGATTGTTGCTTCAATCAAGTTTCGTGTCAATATTTTATCATCAGTCTGGTTCCGTTGCACAGCTTGGGTGGATTTAAGTTTTGCATTAGTATTATTCGGGCTCCTTCTTTTTATGGCAATAAGTGTGGTTGCATTCCTGGTGGCCCTGTTGAGTTTAGAAATTTGATGGAGTTGTTGACAACGTGCTCCTTATCAATCACTGTGTCAATTGATCTATATTCTACTATAACTATCTCGGCAATTTCAGTTGAATTTGTTGATTTAGCTTGTTAAAATCATTATTTTAGGGGCCAACATTGGACATTCGCAAAGCCAATCTTTGAAATTGGTTGATAAGTCTGGGGTTAATGTCAATTTTTTAAATGTCGGAAAATATTTTGAAATATGAGTTAAATATGCAGTTAAGATCAATGGTCTAATTGAATTGACAGTAGTTATAGATTATTTTGATTCGGCCATTGATGAGCTGGTAGTGATTAAAGAATAGGCCTACTCTACTGGTAATTTCATGAAACATATATTGTGACAACTACTATATACTTCTCTTGCAATGCTAGATTTTTCGCAAGCCTTCAACTCTATTGATCACTATCTACTGTTGGCCATGATGTAACGTCTTGCTCACAGTATGCCCCTGTTCAAGGACTCACATCATTATTTATTTTAGAATCTGCCATATTGGTGAGGAACAATCCGGACATCTTTTTTACCAACAATCTGGTCCATCAGTACAACACGAGAAGAGCTAATCAAGTACAAGTACATGTACCTCAAGTTAACTCAACTTTGGCCTGCAAGAGCCCATATTTTAGTAGTGTCAAGATCTACAACTCGCTACCAAGGAACATAATTCAAGAGCAAAATATCAATAAATTTAAGAAGATGTTAAAGGAATATTTATGTGAAGAGGCCTATTTTAAAGTAGAAGATCCGTTTCAACTGTCTCTCACTTATTACAATATTATGTTTTGAGAGTAAAATAGCTAAAATCTCTGCATTATGAAGCCCTAATCTAGATTAATCTTGGATTAGGAAGGCGTTCTTTGTGACCCCATTGATAAAACGTAGGCTTCTCCAACTCCAACACCTAGCACCTCGTGATATGAATAAGTACCTAGCCAACGGCCGCCTTTAACTCCAGTCCCTCAGGCCACGGAATTCGAAGTTGCAACGTCGCAAGTGGTGTTGTAACAGCTGATTTTTTTGGAAGCAGCTAATGGTATTTTTTGTGTATTTACGAAAGATTGGTTACTGGACTATGACAATATTGAATCTGCTTAAAAATGTACAGATATAGATTTTGTTTCGGTTTTCAATTCTGTATGTTTTTATTTCAGTATTTTAATAAATTTATGTTCATAAATCAATAAAGTGCGAATTAATGAGCTGATGTCACTATTCTGCCGTGTTATCTTATGGGACGTCTGTCACTAAACAACACCACTTGCGACGTTGCCAATTCTACCAGGCCACGTCCTGTAGAAAGGTGGCCGTGACCTAGCCGTCATCAATCCCCTCCACCAATGACATAAATTTCGTGTTTAAAAGTCGAAGTTTCGTGTTTTAAAGTCGAAATTTCATAATTTGAAAGTCGAAATTTCAAGTTTAAAAACTTAAAGTTTAAAACACGAAGTTGCGTAGAAATCTCCCTTTCTCTATGGCCCTTTAGCGCCGTCGTCGTACTACTGGGACTCAACGATCTTATTACCAAAGGGTGGGCAGATTTTCCCATCCTTGTTAGTCATTTAGTCAGTCGTGACGTCATCGTTGATGCGATGCAGTTATCGTACTGGTATCGCATAGCTCCACAAGTCAATAGTCGATATCGAATACCCCTAATTTACTTTACTTGAGAATCGCTGAAACGAAACGCTTCCATCTTCTTTCTTCTTTCTCGAATCTTGCTTGGTTAGGTTCAGGACTCTAGATTCTCGTTCTTTGGTTCTTTCTTTGTTTTTGTTTGGTTGGATTGCATGTAATGTCGACAAGCGTAACGAAAGAAAATTTGTTAATCGTGTTTTCAGATATAACTCACTAGTTTAATTTTTAATTTATACCCGTACTTAACTTACGAGAAGTTGTTTTCTGGATAGGCCTAGGCCTAGTTTAACTTAAATTATACATTTTTATATTTATATGACTTAAGTATTAACTTAGGCCTAAGTTAGGCCTATTAGAGGATTTTAAATGGAGGCAACAGAAGATAATAATGATGGTGATCAAGTGGAATCGAAATTACACTTTGTCAATACATACGACCAATTTTCTATTAAAATTGCAAGAAACCGAAGTATCTACGTATAGCAAATTTGTTTGCAGGCGTGCTTGTAAGCAGGATTTTGGCCATAACCTGTATAATACTATAATAGCTTCAAGTTCTTGTTTATCTTTTACTTGGTCACAAGCCGAGTCCAACTTGGTTATAAGCTCGATCCTTATTACCGATAATACAATTAGATTTGCATATGAGCGGTAAATTTAATTTACAGACCGTTCTATAACTTTAGTTTAAAAGCGTTTTCTACTGTGACTATCACAATCATACTTCATATTCATAGATTGTAGAGAAACAACCTAAACCTACATTAATAACAACCTACAACCATAACCATCAACCATGATGTTATGTTAACGAATTCGACGCGAATAACGATCAAATATCGATAGACGATCTTTAGAACTACATCGACTTCCCGAATCGATCGAATCAACGTGACGTCACGACTGACTAACAAGGATGGGAAAATCTGCCCACCTTACCAAAGCTGCGTTGTTGACCAGCATAGCTGGATCTTCTTGGCTACTCCACTCCACTCCAACCGTGTGCGTGAGTAGTGTGAGTGAGGATGAGGAGGGACTGAGAGGGAGTCCAAACTGAACTCCAATACTCCAAAACCAAACTCAAAGCGAGCGAGAGCGAAAGTGCGAGTTGAGTGAGCCAACACTCCAACAGCCAGTGAACGACGAGCGTGAGGTTGAGGCCGTTCCGTTGAAGACTTCCGTAATTCCGATTTCATTTCGGCGATTTCCAAATTCGTTGTCTTCACAAATTAGATAAGTAAGTTTAACGTTGATTTCCTCATTATCTTACTACTAATCTTAATTGGGTATCTTAATAATAATGTTTTCTACAAAGCTATTATATGATTATAAAATGTTAACATGATAGTCGACATATTTAGTAAAAAAATGTGGTTTGACTGGTTTGAGGTTATGCCTACTTACTTAATGCACAGCAGTCTTGGTGTTGCGTTTTTATCCTTCATTAGGGAAAAAAATATTTGAATATGTTACTCTTGGTTTACATTAGCCTATATTTTTGTGCCTTGGTCTAGGACTATGATTGCACTTTGTTGACAAACGCAATCTTAAGTTCTAAAACCTCAAGTCTACAAATCAATCACTCTAGGCTATCTTTCATCCATTTAAATTATTTGCTCCAGCCAAATTTCGTCAAGAGTGTAAATAAATAACGTTCCTAAGAAAACAAAATGATTGAGTTACAATTAAGTTAACTAGGCTAAGTCTAAGCTAATTTATCCTAGGCCTAGGCCTAGCCTTGGTGAAAAAGGAGGATAAAGGGAAGTCGCTCCCATGAGAAACGTATAAAGTCGTTCTTTTTCATCGGGTTATTTGGGCTTTAGGTACTTTGGTATTATCCGGAGGCCACTCCTATACAGCCCGCTGCGGTGGTTATGTTAGGTTGTGTTATTATAAATAAGTATGTAGGACTTTCCTCGTTTCGTTATGAATCGAACGATACCAGATGAGCCATACTTTCACACGCCAAATCCCGTCCAAGCAGGCCAAGGTCAGGTCTTTGACCGGAGCGCGCGCATCACCTGTCACCGCCTGTATCTGGGGTATATTTGGCGAGCGAAAGTAAGACTCATCTAGCATCGTCCGATTCATAACAAAACGAGGAAAGTCCTACAAACATATTTATGATAACATAGCTGCTGCAGCTCGCTGTTTAACTAGGCCTACTTGGTGGAGTATAGCCCGGTGGCGACACATTCAACTCAATCCTCGCCGACATCGCTGCCTTCTGGGAGGCAGAACTTGCCGCTAATCGTAAAATCATGTAAAATTTGGACAGTAGGCTAAGTCAATTAAAGTATGTTCTTTCCAATTATGTAGTTATTTTTGGTCTCTGGTAAAAAAATCCCTCTATAATAAGTGGCCTCCGGATAGTATCAAAGTACCGGGCTTTAAGTTATTATTCAGCCAAATAACCAAGAAAATGGACCTTCCTTACACCGTTCCTAGGAACGGTAGGTATATCTGACATCTCGCCAGTTGCGTTTCACAGTGTTAGTGTGGAAGTCGTTAGGATCCTTGAAGTGCAAGCATCGCACGTATCCAGAGGCACCAAGAACGACTTCAAACCTCATCCCAAATGTAACCTTGTCGATTTCCACAACAACTGTGTTTGGCCCCTTGAGCTTCTCCAAGCACTAGTTGGCGTGGTGAAGGAAGGACTTCTCGATAGAACAAGAACCAGTCTGTGTTGTTGCGACGCAGTTCTTGGTGATATTGCTGTTTCCCGGGGGTTTTAGCCACTGATGGGAGGCAACTAACTTAGTCCGACAATAATCCTCATCAAAATACAAATGTTGGCAAGGAGCATGTTCTTCAACTCTGTACGCTTCCAGTTGCAACTCGTAGGCTTGCATTCTTGAGTTAAATGCTTGGTTGCACCGGAAAAGCAATGTTTCCGAGATAAGAAAACATTTGCGCCCACATTTCTCGCACTTCGTCACATTGCTGAGAACTCTGCCATAGGTACTCAAGAAGACCCAGCTCCTCATCTTCACTCGAACAGTCAAAGTGACTCAACATATACATATTCAATGGACCAGTCACCCCCTTGGTGTCGTTCATTGATAACTACCGACACAAGAAGTCAATGCTAAAGATTAACATAGTCAGGGTTGTTCCACCGTCATTCCCCCCTCCCTGGGATGTACCACAGTTGTAAACGTACCAACGTCGTATACAGTCGTAAACGACGTTGACTTTTCACTCAACACACTCTTTACATTTAACACTTTTACACCCACTGACATATTACATTAAGTCCAGGGTCTGCGCCTGCACCTGGCCTTGATGGTATCTCGGTCTTTGTTCTTAAGGAAAAATCCACTCTTTATCAGCTACCTATCTGATAGGTTACGCAGACTGTCTCACTCGGCAAAGTGTCAAGCGATGTTTTGCCAGTGGAGTGGTGGCTTGGTCCAGGGATTGAATCTTGGCCCTGTTCTGTTCTTCATGTACATCAATAATATTTGGAGCCTTTCTTAAAAATGGGAGAAATTTGGGAGTAGGTTACTTAAATTGATCCGAAAAAATACCATTCTTTAAACACTGATTTATAATAAGAGATAAGGGTTCGGAGATTATGTCAGCAGCAGATTTGATCAGTTTAATTGGGATTTCATCCCCAGCCCACTGACATTTTGTTCTTTAGATAAAGGATGACCTTTTTTATTTCATCTTTATTAGTGAGGCTAAGATTGCACAATGTGACCCCACCATATCACTACGGTATGATTTTACAGACGAATGAACACCATTGACTTAATTCAGCCTTCTTTACATTCAGATTAATTACTGTATTACGGAAAAAAACTGTTATAAAAAGTTTAGGTACATTATCAGGATTATCAACAGTGGTTTGGTTTGTATAATCTTTTAAAATAATTTTGTCTTTGTGGGTATGGTTTAAGCCAAGTTCATTGTTAACAATTTGCCAAGCTGCTTTAGGCTTGTTTTCAGATTTTCTAATAAGGTTATTATTCCTAATTTGCCACCAGGTTGAAGTTCGTTCGCTACGCTCACTCACTTTTGGTTGCAAATTAGCTGCTGTCATAAATAAAAAAAAAAATAATAGTGCTGCACCCTGTTGTTAAACCCATTAACTTTTTAATGCTATTGAACATCACAGAATCAAATTGTTTAGTTGAACCAGCTGTTAAGATTCTTTAATCTATATATTTAATACGCAGTTGTAACACTGTTTTCTCAGTAATTACTGGACCGATCTACAAGATTTATGTCTCAAATTAAAGGGGATAATGCATAGATTTGCCGAACTTCATTAGAATTTACGTTTTTTCTAAGGGCTACGACCTACAGCCCTTTAAAGGTCGAGTCAACACAATTCTTATTGAAGAATATAATACACAGTTAATAAATTATTCGTCAGCTGTTTAATGTTTGTAAGACATTTGTTATTATTTTTATAACCTCACTTTCAGTATGCAATTATTAAACTTGGAGTTTCTGTTTATAAACACACGATTTTGATCAAGGAAAGTGTATTTGTTAACTTATTTTTGAAATGTTTTAGTTTTCCTGCAAAGTGATCTGAAGGAAAGTGGTAATTGAGTTTAAGATTGAGTATGGAATGTGAAATAATACCCATAGTAGGGAACGGAAACTTATTATTTTGATCAATATAATTTATTCTCTACGGCCATCAGAATAATCATAGGGAAATCCGCTTGCAAGTTGTACATATAATTGCTAATGAGTGGGAAACATACAAACATTTTATAGTAGGGGACGAATCTTACTCAAGATCAGTGTTAGACGTTCAGTGGTACCAAACTTTACCTTCTCGAGATGGCGAGTACGCTGGGATACGTGGAACTACAATATATCAGTGAATTTTTTTTTTTCAAGTAGGCTACACAGGGAAGTTGCTTGAGAAACTGTGACTTACCATTCGGTTCTGGCGACGAAGTATTTTACTTGATGTTTAATGGCAATGTTGACTCGGGTCATTATAGCGTCATAAAACTTTATCATTAACCCCAGGGCGTGAAAAGTACAAAAAGAAAAAGAAAAGGTAATCATTAACCGGGCGTAAAGAGACATACCGAACAGAAAAATGTAGAGAACCATCGAACTAAAAAGGTAAAGAGCAGTGTTGGTGTTAAATGTGCTCTGGAAGTCCCTAAAAAAAATACAAACTCTTTTGAATTGGGGTCGTTATATTGGATTTGTCACTACTTCAAATCTATGAATTTTGAGTCAGAACAGACTAACTGGGACACAAAAATGTTTTAGTTTTCCTGCAAAGTGATCTGAAGGAAAGTGGTAAATGAGTTTAAGTTTGAGTATGGAATGTGAAATAATACCCATAGTAGGGGACGGAAACTTATTGTTTTTATCAATATAATTTATTCTCTATAGCCACCAGAACAATCGTAGGGAAATCCGCTTGCAAGTTGTACAGATAATTGCTAATGATTGATAAACATACAAACATTTTATCGTAAGTGATTAATCTTACTCAAGATCAGTGTTCGACGTCCAAATTTTACCTTCTCGGGATGGCGAGTACGCTGGGATATTTGGAACTACAATTTATCAGTGAACTATACCCTAACTATATTTTTTCGAGTAGGCCTACACAGGGAAGTTGCTTGAGAAACTGTAACTTACGATTTCGGTTCTGGCGAAGAAGTATCTGACTTGATGTTCAGTGGCAATATTGACTCGGGTCATTAGCCATATCGTTATAAAACTTTATCATTAACCCCAGGATGTGAAAAGTACAAAAAGAAAAAGAAAAGGTAATCATTAACCGGGCGTAAAGAGACATACAGAACGAAAAAAACATGTAGAGAACCATGGAACTAAAAAGGTAAAGAGCAGTGATGGTGTTAAATGTGCTCTGGAAGTCCCTTCTAAAAAATACCAATTTTTTTGAATTGGGGTCGTTAGATTGGATTTGTCAGTACTGCAAATCTATGAATTTTGAGTCAGAACAGACTAACTGGGACACAATTTGTCCTTATGTTGTCACAAGGGGAAGGTAAAATGAACTCCTTATCAACATTTTGAGTTTATGGAAAATCTTATCAACAGCGACTATAAGAAAAGTATTAAGGGTCAAAAGAGACAAAAAACTATTTGAGTAAAATAGCCTATAATACAAATCTGCATTTGAAATGGCCAGTTCTAAGTCTCACTTGAATAGTTGAATCAACATCTTTCTGGTAGTGGTAGTCTTCATAGTTTTAAGATCCACGACTCCTTTTCCATCAC